TTTTTTACTATTTTCTACATTGTAGAATAATAGTGAAGACATTAAAAACTATGAAATCACACATATGGAATCATGTAGTAACAAACAGTGTTAAACAAATCAAAATATATTTTATATTTGAGATTCTTCAAATAGCCACCCTTTGCCTTGATGACAGCTTTGCACACTCTTGACATTCTCTCAACCAGCTTCATGAAGTAGTCACCTGGAATGCATTTCAATTAACAGGTGTGCCTTGTTAAAAGGTCATTTGTGGAATTTCTTTCCTTGTTAATGCATTTGAGCCAGTCAGTTGTGTTGTGACAAGGTATGGGTGGTATACAGAAGATAGCCCTATTTGGTAAAAGACCAAGTCCTTATTATGGCAAGAACAGTTCAAATAAGCAAATAGGAACGACAGTCCATCATTACTTTAAGACATGAAGGTCAGTCAATACGGAACATTTCAAGAACTTTGAACGTTTCTTCAAGTGCAGTCGCAAAACCCATTAAGCGCTATGATGAAACTGGCTCTCATGAGGACCGCTACAGAAAAGGAAGACCCAGAGTTACCTCTGCTGTAGAGGATAAGTTTATTAGAGTTACCAGCCTCAGAAATTGCAGCCCAAATAAATGCTTCACAGAGTTCAAGTAACAGACACATTATTTGTATTTATTTTATTTTAGTCATTTAGCAGACACTCTTATCCAGAGCGACTTACAGGAGCAATTAGGGTTAAGTGCCTTGCTTAAGGGCACATCAACAGATTTTTCGCCTAGTCGGCTCGGGGATTAGAACCAACGACCTTTCGGTTACTGGCACAACGCTCTTACCCACTAAGCTACCTGCCAACTGTTCAGAGGGGACTGTGTGAATCAGGCCTTCATGGTCGAATTGCTGCAAAGAAACCACTACTAAAGGACACCAATAAGAATAAGAGACTTGCTTGGGCCAAGAAACACCAGCAATGGACATTAGGCTGGTGGATTTCTGTCCTTTGGTCTGATGAGTCCAAATTTGAGATTTTTGGTTCCAACCGCCGTGTCTTTGTGAGACGCAGAGTAGGTGAACGGATGATCTCCGCATGTGGTTCCCTCCTTGGAAGAATGGAGGAGGAGGTGGTGTGATGGTGTGGGGGTGCTTTGCTGGTGACACTGTCTGTGATTTATTTAGAATTCAAGGCACACTTAACCAGCATGACTACCACAGCATTCTGCAGCGATACGCCATCCCATCTGGTTTGCGCTTAGTGGGACTATCATTTGTTTTTCAACAGGACAATGACCCAACACACACCTCCAGGCTGTGTAAGGGCTATTTTACCAAGAAGGAGAGTGATGGAGTGCTGCATCAGATGACCTGGCCTCCACAATCACCCGACCTCAACCCAATTGAGATGGTTTGGGATGAGTTGGACCGCAGAGTGAAGGAAAAGCAGCCAGCAAGTGCTCAGCATATGTGGGAACTCCTTCAAGACTGTTGGAAAAGCATTCCAGGTGAAGCTGGTTGAGAGAATGCCAAGAGTGTGCAAATCTGTCAAGGCAAAGGGTGGCTACTTTGAATAATCTAAAAGATAAAATATATTTTGATTTGTTTAAAAATTTTTTGGTTACTACATGATTCTATATGTGTTATTTCATAGTTTTGATGTCTTCACTATTATTCTACAATGTAGAAAATAGTAAAAATAAAGGAAAAACCCTTGAATGAGTAGGTGTGTCCAAACGTTTGACTGGTACTGTATTTATTGGCTATGTCATAGCTATTTTGTAGACGATAAATATTGAGGCATTAATAGCTCAAACACTTAATCTGCAAATATGACAAGTTAATTACTGGGTGATTTTTCATTCCCACAGGGGGTATGAAAAAAATAATAATGTAAGTCGCTCTGGATAAGAGCGTCTGCTAAATGACGTAAAATAAAAATAAAAAATAAAATAAAATAATAAAAATAATAGTGATTTGCCCTGCCTAATTTGATAGTGGTAGTGGGGTGGTAGATGCCTTGTCTCCCTTATGGCTCAGCTCAGGTTCCTACATAGGACGTACACCACAGGCATACGTCATTTACACACAGGGGCGCAACTTTCACTGGGGACGGGGGGGACATGTACCCCCCACATTTTGAAATTGCATTTTTGTCCCCCCCAGTTTTATAATTGGAATGTGATACAAAACGAGGCAACGGTGTGATTTAGGACCATACGGACGCCTCCGAGCGGTCGGGTAGGCTGTTTTTAAGTTTTTATCTGACTGGATAAAAAATATATAAGAATGCCCCCCCCCCCCACCCCCACCACCACTTCTAAAACCAAAGTTGCACCCCTGTTTACACACACACACACACACACACACACACAGAGAGAAGTTAGCTCAGACAGATCCAGCTCAGAGGCCCAGCTCATCAGCTCCATCAGCAACTTTAGAATGGAAATCTAATGTGTTTATGCAACAAATGTTAGTGCATCGAACGGAATCGCATCGGTTGGTTCTCTAATAAACCGAGTCATTTAAAACTAAAACGTATCGTTCATGTATTGTCTAAATACGTATCGAATCGTCTTAAAATGGAAAGATGCACATCCTTAATTTATCCTGCTGCTCGACTCTTTCTCTGCCTCTGTGAATATCCCTTTCCCTTTCTCCTCTCTCTCTCTCTCTCTTTTTTTTTCTTCTCTTTCTCCCCCCCCTCCTTAGGGGTTGACGGCAGGTTGTTGAGTACAGGGTGGGAAATTCACTTTTTGGTCCACTAGCCACTGTGGCAGGTATATATAAAGATCTACCTGCCACAAAATATAATAATTACACCACAAATCACCAAAAAGCAGATGAGTTGCAGCAAACTCAAACTAACATTGAAAAACAACCTAGCATGTGAACTAAATGATGTAACTAGCCAAGAAACACGAGGACAAAGTCACATTTTAGTAGCTGTTCGGGTCAATTCAACCAACTTCTACATGTGTGCTTTGGATGGGGGAAAAGACTGTTTCCAAATGCTCTGTGTGGCCACCTGCAAATGTGGCTGGTGAAATAGACATTCTTACCCGCCAATGACAAAATCTACCCGCATTTAGCGTGTGTTAAAATCCCACCCTGGTTGAGTAACATTGAAACATTGTCGTAAACAAGGGTTTATCAACTCCAGGCCTCGGCACCCACAGGACTGAACATTTTAGAGAGCGAGAGAGAGTGTCAAAGACTGAGAGATACATGGAGAGAGAGAGAGCAGGAAGTTTGATTGGAAGCAAGCCTACATACATGTGAATAAGCATCTTAATTAATGTTAGCTATATTACCTATGCTGCATCCTGTTTAAGTTGGGAGATATGATTTTTTCCCCCTCATTTATCAGGAAGGGCGGATTTGCAGACCTCTGACAATATGAATACTGTTTATTTTATGATCTGTAGGCCTATCCTATCATTGAGACAGACACGTAGTCTTTATTTTCCTCTGTTGTTATCTAGTGCTGATCACATCTATGATAGTAGAATGTAATCTCTTTCACCAGTCTGATAGACCATATTGTGCTCAAACTGTGTAGCCTACTTCTTCAAAATAAAGGGTTATTGGCAGACAGGCCTACAACCTCAAGTGGTCTTTGGTCTTTATTGATGGATAATAATCTGTCATATTCACCAATGTGTATCCATGACGCAGTGACAGATTTTCTTTTTTTTTACCTGTCTTAGAAAATCCTGTTTACAGTGTGACTGTCTGTCTGGATGTATACTACAGTACATCAAAATGTCCTGGGGTGTATTCACTAGGAACCAGACAGAAGCAAACAGAACTAAACCGGGAGGGACTTACCTGAATTTGTCCAATAGAAACTCTTGTTTTTGTTGCAAAGAGTTTTCCTTGTTTGCAACCGTTTGCTACGGTGTGCACTAATGATTACACCTCTGGTGTTTGTTTACATGGTGTCTAAGATATGATCCTTCTCTCTCTCTACCCATGTAACCATCCTTTGACCTCTATCCCCTGTGTGAACTTCATCAGGAGTCAGACCAAGGTAAGCCCAGTCCAGTACATTACTACTGATTTGTGTTAATGCTTGGTTGTCAATGCTGTTAATGTCTTGACAGACTAGCTACTTTGAATTCATGTGATTTATAAAGCAATCATTGTACTTGTATATTGACATGTACACAAACTGTTAGGCTAATTTGTATGGCATGTTTATCACTGCCTGTGCTCAAGAAGAACCACCCAACGGGCAAAACTGTTTGAAATATCATAATAATGTCATAAGTTTTGCCCGCTGGATAACAGCTGTTATAAATGTGTTCTAAACTATTTTGTTTCATTGTGTCCTTGGTCTCTCGTCCCCTCAGACCTTCGCCTACGACTACTGTTTCTGGTCCATGGACGAGTCGGAAAAGGACAAGTTTGCGGGTCAGTTTTTGTTTCCCTCACGTTAACCCCTCATCCTCACTTCCTTCCCTCTGCTCTTCCTCCTCCTGTATATTTAGTAGGCCACATTCAGTTGCCAAACGTTGTCGAACGTTGCAGGTAGAAATGACACGAATAGAGCGACACAATTCCTTGTTCTACATGACGGCCTACAGAGGCCTGTTTGTTCTACGTAACATATTTCTATCTGAATGTTCCAAAATGCTACGTCCTGCTGAACACACCCCAGGTATACGTCTGTCCAGGTGGTTTTCAGGTATATTCAGAAGTTTTTCTCTACAGTGACTAAGGATCCCACCTGAATTCTCTTTGTTGTGTACTTGCTTGGATGGATCTGTAGGTGTTTGGCTTAATTTAAATGTCAAATATTCCTGTCAGACCTGCTAGTCATCTAAACCCAACTAGGGCCTATTGTACCTATGCTGTTTCTCACACTGTTCATATATACAGTCTGAAGGTCCTATATGAATTAACACATGCTGAACATGTATAGCGTGTAGATTATCTTGTAATTGTGTTTGTGTTCCAGGTGATTTCTAAATCACCCCGAAGGGCATCAACAAAGTCCTATTGTAGGGTTTTATATTGTATAATTAATATGATCGTGGTGTTGTAACGTTGCCTGGTGGTTTGTCTCCAGGTCAGGACGTTGGTGTTTCAGTGCCTTGGGGAGAGTCTTTTGCACAATGCCTTCCAGGGCTACAACGCCTGCATCTTCGCCTACGGACAGACAGGTATGTTATGACATTGGTACATTATGATACTACTAACTGGCCTCATATGATTGGCATGGAACAGATCTTTACGGTTTCAAGTTTAAAACAGGTTGAAGTTCAGTGGCTGTCTCCTAACGGCTGCTCTCGTCCATTGGCTGCGTGTGTGTCCCTCCAGGTTCGGGGAAGTCATACACCATGATGGGCTCTGTGGACTCTCCAGGTCTGATCCCGCGGCTCTGCAGCTCTCTGTTTGACCGCACCCTGCTGGAGCAGAGGGAGGGTGAAGGCTTCACCATAGAGGTCTCCTACATGGAGATATACAACGAGAAGGTCCGTGACCTCCTCGACCCCAAAGGGTATGTATGACCCCTGAATATTGACCTTTAACCACCTCTTGGACTCTTGTTTTGTTTTAGTTTTATTTGTTGGAATATACTACAATTTGTCCGTGGCCCCATTTTAAGATAGTTTAAACATGCTTCATCCCTTCCTTGAAGTCTAGTCACTGATCTAACACAATTAGATGGGTATGAGGAGGGTTCCATGACATGGCTTTCACCTATCCAGTCATGTCATATTAGTGATTCAACTCTGAGGAATCAAGTACATCATTTCCAAACATATTTCAGAACAGGGCCCCAGTGCTTTCACACACATTTGCACTTGCTTGTCTGTTCAGAGCTCCTATGGCACCCTGCTTGACCCCAAAGGTTATGACCCTGTCACCTCTGTTAAAACAACCTATAGAATAATTGGGCTCCCGAGTGGCGTAGCGGTCTAAGGCACTGCATCTCAGTGCTTGAGGCGTCACTACAGACCCCCTGGTTCGATTCCAGGCTGTATCACAACCGGCCGTGATTGGGAGTCCCATAGGGCGGCGCACAATTGGCCCAGCGTTGTCCGGGTTTGGCCGGTGTAGGCCGTCATTGTAAATAAGAATTTGTTCTTAACTGACTTGCCTAGTTAAATAAAGGTAAAATAAAAAAAGATAACAGAGCTGCATGTCACAGGAGTAGGAGGCTCTACATCGTCCGGCCATATGGAGGCAGTCTGCCACACTACACAGGAGGATGTAGAGAGCCTCTAGCTCTATATGGAGTCTAGAACTGATTGATATTCCACTTGTGTTGATCTGGCTATTGCAGATTCTATTTGGAGAACTGTTGCTTTTACACAGAACGTAGGAGAGTGTAGAGCAAGGATGGGAAACTTTGATGGAGGTGGGGGCCACAAAAAAACGGAACTCATGCGTACCCACATCCATACATATGAAAATGTATGCACTCACTAACTGTAAGTCGCTCTGGATAAGAGCGTCTGCTAAATGACTAAAATGTAAATACCCGCCCACCACGTTGCGAGCAAAACATTTTAGCGGCTCCCCCTCGTGACAGCGAAGACAAAACATGTACCTTTTAAAGTTCATTTTCTGCAATTCTGCGCATTTTGCAATGGGGCGTAGAGAAAATTATGCCATTTTTAAAGCAAGTTTGCTGAAATTCTACTTATTTTGCAATAGGGTGGAGGCAAATGTTTGCAGTTTTTAATATGATAACTGATGATCAATGGGCCCCACACCAGTCAGTAATTCGACCATGCTTACGCCAAGTTTAGATAGCTGGCCGCTAGACTAACTTACCAATCTAAAAGATGTTTGCTGACATGGGCTAATTAAGTGACTGCCGATGCACAACCCTGGTGTAGCGGGATACGTCTCAAATAAAATACTATTTGAGATTCATTTATAGAGCATGGAAGGATGATGCCAGTTTTCTTTCTGAAGTAAACCCCATTCATATGTGTCGTCCCCCCAGGAGCAGGCAGGCTCTTAGAGTGAGGGAACACAAGGTGTTGGGGCCGTACGTGGACGGCCTGTCACGCCTGGCTGTGGCCAGCTACAAGGTACGCCACACCACTACCAGCACTAGTAGAATGACTACTGATATGACCATGCTACTGATGATTTAAGCTTTATTCAATATTCATAAACAACAGAATTGATATTATGGTATGGTTAATAATAGACTATGAAATATTCATGTTCTAGGTTGGAGTGTAGAGGATAGCGTAGGGAGGGTTGTGGTAGCTGAGAGCTTTGTTAAGATGAGCCATGTCAGAATGAAAACAATTCACAAAACTGTGTTAACCCACACACATCCACAGACTTATTTAATCAACACACTGCCTTGAAGGCGGACTGCACGCACACACAAACACACACACAAACACACACACTCTGTCTCTCACGTCACACTCCCTGGATTCAAGGCTTACCGTGGCTAATGACTTTGACAGCTGTTCACATATCGGTGGTAAGTTACCATGCAGCCCTGATCAAGAGGGATGGTTTCTCTGGAGAAAATATACATGTATTTATTCATCTTCCTTCCTTCCTTCCTTCCTTCCTTCCTTCCTTCCTTCCTTCCTTCCTTCCTTCCTTCCTTCCTTCCTTCCTTCCTTCCTTCCTTCCTTTCTCTATTCTCCCACCCCTCTCTCTCCATGCCTCCTTCTGTTCCCTGTACCTCTTCTTACTCCCCCTCTCCACTGTCCGCTCCCCAAAATATTTCTCCCATCCCCTCTTCTCCCCTCTCTCCCTCCCTCCATCCACCCCTCTCTCCTATCTCTTCTCTAGGACATTGAGTCTCTGATGTCGGAGGGGAATAAGTCTCGTACGGTGGCTGCCACCAACATGAACGAGGAGAGTAGCAGATCTCACGCTGTCTTCAACATCATCCTCACACACACACTCAAAGACCTGCAGTCTGGGGTAAGACAGACACACACGGACATACACAAACACTCACGCACACACACACACTCTCCAACTGATTCTTACGCCGCGGTCAGTCCAACCTCTCCCACATAACATCTTAGTCGACTGCTGTAATGTTTTGTGAATACTGCATCTTATTCGTCATATCACTCTGTCTTCCTCTCCCCCTAGTTCTAAAGCACTGTCTAACTGGGCCACTGACTGTAAAAGTGTCCCAGAGAGACTGTCTGTCCTGTCAGTGAGCACTGTTCAGGAACTAGCTAGTGATGTCACTGTCAGCCTCTAGGAAAACTGTAAATAAGTAATGAAGTTCTCTCTCTGTCTGTCTTGATGTCAGCTGATCTGCTGTGTCAGCCTGGTCCTCTTTTATCCACACTACACCTGGTCGGTCATCCAACCCTGGTCCTCTTTTATCCACACTACACCTGGTCGGTCATCCAACCCTGGTCCTCTTTTATCCACACTACACCTGGTCGGTCATCCAACCCTGGTCCTCTTTTATCCACACTACACCTGGTCGGTCATCCAACCCTGGTCCTCTTTTATCCACACTACACCTGGTCGGTCATCCAACCCTGGTCCTCTTTTATCCACACTACACCTGGTCGGTCATCCAACCCTGGTCCTCTTTTATCCACACTACACCTGGTCGGTCATCCAACCCTGGTCCTCTTTTATCCACACTACACCTGGTCGGTCATCCAACCCTGGTCCTCTTTTATCCACACTACACCTGGTCGGTCATCCAACCCTGGGCCTCTTTTATCCACACTACACCTGGTCGGTCATCCAACCCTGGTCCTCTTTTATCCACACTACACCTGGTCGGTCATCCAACCCTGGTCCTCTTTTATCCACACTACACCTGGTCGGTCATCCAACCCTGGGCCTGTATGTTTGTGTGGTGGTGTGTGTGTGTTGCGAGCTTGAGTCTGTGCGTGTGTGTGACCTGATCACCCAACCCTGGTCTCACCGCATTATATCGGAAGCACACAGGGTGAATAATGCTTTAGTGGAACAGTTGATTCTAGTTGAGGTCAAAAATGGCTGGAACAGTTGATTCTAGTTCGGGTCAAATAAGGCTGGAACAGTTGATTCTAGTTCGGATCAAAAATGGCTGGAACAGTTGATTCTAGTTGAGGTCAAAAATGGCTGGAACAGTTGATTCTAGTTCGGGTCAAATAAGGCTGGAACAGTTGATTCTAGTTCGGATCAAAAATGGCTGGAACAGTTGATTCTAGTTCGGGTCAAAAAGGCTGGAACAGTTGATTCTAGTTCGGGTCAAATAAGGCTGGAACAGTTGATTCTAGTTCGGATCAAAAATGGCTGGAACAGTTGATTCTAGTTCGGGTCAAAAAGGCTGGAACAATTCATTCTAGTTCGGGTCAAATGAGGCTAGAACAGTTGATTCTAGTTTGGGTCAAAAATGGCTGGAACAGTTGATTCTAGTTTGGGTCAAAAATGGCTGGAACAGTTGATTCTAGTTCGGGTCAAATAAGGCTAAATTAAGGCTGGAAAAGACAAGTGAACCTCTATTTTCCTCATAAGGACAGTCATATGTTATTATCCACATCGGTATTTCAAAAAAGCTAATTCAAATGAGTTACAAAAATACATTTCAGAATTTTGGAGAACACTCTGCCTAACGAATGTAACGCAGGCAGTTGATCTAAAGCAGGGATGGGCAATTGGCGGCCCGCTGTAGGCCCGCAGATCGATTACCCCAAAAAACTCAGTCAGGGGATCTTCTTACTATTGAGAGTTAGAATAGTACGATGCACAAGGTGCAATTTGGAAATGTGGTTGTGCATCAGCAGTTTTTCTCTTTTTATGTCAGTCACTTATAGTCACTCAATTAGCTTAAAAAAAAATATATATATATATATATATATAAGTTAGTCTAGCCAGCTATCTAAACTTGTAGTAATAATGGTCGAATTACCGACCGGGCGGCCCCCATTGATTTTGTTAGTCAGAGTCACTCAGATATATTAAAAACTGCGAACATTTCTCTCCGCCCCATGGCTAAATTAGTAGAACTGCATGAAATGTGTTATATAATCTTCTCTCCGACCCACGGGAAAATATGTACAATTGCAGCAAACTTGCTTTAAAACTGAAACATTTTCTTTACGCCCCATGGCAAAATGTGTACAATTGCAGGAAATTAACTTGAAAACTTCATTTTTTCAACAACCAAAAATATCTTGATGTGGGTGGTGCTTAGGACCCCCAAAACGCTAGGGTCTGCATGTGTGGGTATTGATGTCGGTCGGTAGCGGACCCGCGAGCCACTGCGGCCCCTCATGATGCTTTCACATTTTTTGTGGCCCCCACCCCCATCAAAGTTGCCCATCACTGATCTAAAGTGTTGCGGACTGAGCCTCCCCTTTGGAGGCTGTAACAGTTTGATACCGTGTTGTGTTGCTGAACGCAGCCCCAGGTGCACCTGTGGTGGACTGGAACACAGACCTAAATATAGTCTGAGACGGATCATTTAAACAAATGCACAAATAAAGGCTGGCCATGCCTCAGTGTGCGTGCGCTCATTCACACACTCACACACACACAGAGGGAGATAAAGAGCGGGAGCGTCTTTGGGCCTCCTGTTTCTGCTGAGGTTCACTTGGCTTTATCCTCCCTTTACTAATCTCCATGGAAACTCAGTCCTATGCAAATTCACAGGGGCCTGTTGACAGAGTGATCTAAGAATATGTGTCTGAGATGTCGCTTTGGGGGTGCCATGGTGAGAGAGAAGGAAGTTTGGCATCTTTATAAAAGGGTGATGAAGTTGGAACAGCACATTAACTAAACCGTAGGCAAATACTAGGGAAAATCCTACAAGATTGTTACTCAACTAGATTACACAAGTTTTAAAATGAACTGTATTCCACATTTAATGAGGTATCAGCCAAATACTTCCAATCATTTTTGACTCAGGCCCACCCCGGTTCATGCTTTTTCTCCTTCTCTCTTTCTCTCTTCTCTCGTTCTCTCCTCGCTCTTTCTCTCTCCTCTCTCTCTCTCTCTCTTTCTCTCTCCTCTCTCTTTCTCTCTCCTCTCCTCTCTCTTTCTCTCTCCTCTCTCTTTCTCTCTCCTCTCTCTCACTCATTCGTTCTCCGTCCTCTTCGTTCTCTCTCGTTTCTCTCGTCTCTCCTCTCTCTCCTCTCTCTCTCTCTCTCTCTCTCTCTCTCTCTCTCTCTCTCGTCTCTCCTCTCCTCTCTCTCTCTCCTCTCTCTCCATCTCTCTCTCTCTCTCTCTCTCTCTCTCCTCTTCTCTCTCTCCGTCTCTCTCTCTACCTCGCCTCTCTCTCTCCTGCTCTCTCTCCTCTCTCGCGTCCTCTCTCTCTCATCTCTCCTCTCTCTCTCTCTCTCTCTGGGGACAAGGGCAGTCTTTGTTTTCACAACTCACTGTAATCTCTTCCCGCTCTATTCCCACTCAGCACGACGCCGGACATAACACACACACACGACCCCAAACATAATGCACACCCCCTCTGCCCCCGCTGCCCTTTGTCTCTCTACCCCCACCCCCATCTCTCTCACACATTTCTCACTCAAATCATTCACTCACCCCATCTCTCTCTCTCTTTTTCTATATCTATCTCGTACATTCTCGCTCTTACATTCTTTCCTTCCACTACTGCATTCCTGCATTTTCTCTCTGTTCTTCCTCTCTCTTACACGATCTCTCCTTCCAATGACTCCTTCCTCCCCCCATCCTCTCCTCCTCTCCCCTCCCTACCTCCCCTCCCCTACTCTCTCATCTCCATTAGCTCTCCGTCTCCCAGTCAAGCTCCAGGCCTTAATGCACACATACCTTATTTAAGATAAGGACCCCTTTACATGTGTACACACACACACACACACACACACACACACACACACACACACACACAGACAAATACAGTGAGTAAAGCTCCACCCCTGCAGCTAAGATTGTAAATCACAGAGAACAATGGGAGCTTGTTACTCTCTCTCGCTCGTTCTCTCTAGCTCTCTCGCTCTCTTTCTTTCTCTCTCTCTTTCTTTCTCTCCTCACTCTCTCTTTCTCGCACGCTCTCGCACACTCAGTCTCTTGCACACTCACACTCTCTCGGTCTCTCTTTCTCGCTCTCTCGCACTGTCTTGCACTCGCTCGCTCTCTTTCTCTATCTCTGTCTGTCTCTGCCTCGCTGTGTGTGGCTTTTGGCCTCTGTTCTCCATAGGAATAGCTGATAGTCTGGTTAATGAATCCTTTCATATATATCGTCCTTCCTGGCCCTTTATGTTAGAGCAGGGAGACATGATGGTTGTATCCTGCATGGAAATGACTGGGATGAGATGGTAAATCTTTGACTGAAACTGTTGCATTTGTTTGCATTCCGAAGGTTTATGCGGTGTGCAGGATTGGAGTCATTTTAACAGTTTAAAATGAAGGATGTTATCAAAATGTAAATCTACTAAGATTACTTTCTATCTGCTCTCCCCCCCTCCTTTCCTCTCTCCCTCTCCCCCCCCCCCCCCCCCCCCCCCCCCCCCTCTCTGTAGACGAGTGGTGAGAAGGTGAGTAAGCTGAGTCTGGTTGACCTGGCTGGCAGTGAGAGAGCAGCTAAGACTGGAGCTACTGGAGAGAGGATGAAGGAGGGCAGCAACATCAACAAGTATGTCACCAAGCACTTTGATAACACACCCATTCATACATACACACAGTTTTCAAGGTACGTCCTCAATGAGACCACAATACAACACACACGCAGCTCCAAGTGTTCTAGTTCTAGCTTCAAGGTCCCCAATTAAATAAAGATGCACACTTAGTGGGTTGTTCTGTGTGTCTTTGCAGGTCTCTGACTACTCTAGGCCTGGTCATATCTGCTCTGGCAGAACAGGGATGTGGGAAGAACAAGACCAAATTTGTCCCTTACAGAGACTCTGTACTAACATGGCTGCTAAAGGTAAGAGAGACATCTTTTGTCTTTTTCCCTGCTCTTACAATAACTTATCTCGTCCTCCCTCTCTCTCTCCCGCTCAACATGAGAGGGATGGAGGCTTATCTTCCTGTTTCCTTTTAGAGATTTAAACACATCTGCCCCTACAATCATATTAAAGATTTGGTCTCTTCCTCCTCTTTCATTCCCCCTCTCTCACTAACACTCTCTCCTCTCTTTCTCCCTCGTCTCTCTCCTCTCTCTTTCTCCCTCGTCTCTCTCCTCTCTCTTTCATCTCTCTCCTCTCTCTTTCGTCTCTCTCCTCTCTCTTTCCCCGAGAACCGTCGCTCTCTCATCTTTCCTCCCGTCGTCTCTCTCCTCTCTCTTTCTCCCTCGTCTCTCTCCTCTCTCTTTCTCCCTCGTCTCTCTCCTCTCTCTTTCTCCCTCGTCTCTCTCCTCTCTCTTTCTCCCTCGTCTCTCTCTTTCTCCCTCGTCTCTCTCTCCTCTCTCTTTCTCCCTCGTCTCTCTTTATTCCTCGCCTCTCTCCCTCTCTTTGTCCTCCCGTCGCCTTCTCGCCTCTCTCTTTCTCTTCCTCCAACCACACCCCTCTCTCCTTCTTCCTCTTTCTCCCCTCGTCTCTCTCCCCTCGTTCTCTGCTTCGTCTCTCCCCTCTCGTTCTCTCCTCTCTCTTTCTCCCTCGTCTCTCTCCTCTCTCTTTCTCCCACGTCTCCAGGACAGCCTGGGCGGTAACAGCCGCACGGCCATGGTGGCCACAGTGAGCCCGGCGGCGGACAACTATGACGAGACGCTGTCCACGCTGCGCTACGCCGACCGGGCCAAGAGCATTGTCAACCACGCCGTGGTCAATGAGGACCCCAACGCACGCATCATCAGGGAGCTCCGAGAGGAAGTGGAAAAACTACGGGACCAGCTGACACAGGCAGAGGTGAGGGGGGGAAGAGGGGTAGAAAAGGAAGTAGGGGGTGAGAGGAGGAAAGAAGAGAGGGGGAGGTAGAGGGATGGGAGTAGAGAAAGAGGGGGAAGAGTGAGATCAACTGATAAAGTCCAGGGTAAGGATGAATGAGTGGAGAGAGAGCCTGGCTATTCCAGCTGGCAAAACTGGTCACGGCAAGGTTGCGTTGTGGTCGTGTAAGGACGTGTTTTAGCTATTTCTTTGCATCCAGAAAACAATGTCTTCATCTGCTTGTAGCAGGGACCAGTTGGTTGTAATTTGGTTGTATGAAGACTTTTTAACCAGAACATCAGTTTACAACCACAAAATGACATGGGCTTCTACATATTGCCTGCTTGGAGAGATGGAACAAAACAAAACAAAGAGTGTTTTCTTGTCTCCTGTCCAGTCTATGAAGGCCCCAGAGCTGAAGGAGAGGCTGGAGGAGTCTGAGAAACTCATCCAGGAGATGACCGTCACCTGGGAGGAGAAACTACGCAAGACTGAGGAGATCGCACAGGTACACACACACCTTTGTACATTCTGTGCTGGGTTGTGTTCATTAGGCACGAAACAGAAGAGAACGGTCTGAACAACGTTTTGAAAAGTGTGCCCTAATTAACACAAGGCTGGAGTCTGGATCAATAGTTTGTCGTTGTTGTGTGTCCTGTAGGAGCGTCAGAAACAGTTGGAGTCCCTTGGCATCTCTCTCCAGTCGTCTGGCATCAGAGTGGGAGAAGACAAGTGTTTCCTAGTCAACCTCAATGCTGATCCCGCTCTCAACGAACTGCTGGTCTACTACCTGAAGGTACACACCAGGGTGCATGCACGTACACACACACACACAGCATTGTAACATTGTGTGTGTGATAATGTATTGTTGTGTACTGTAGGAGCACACTAAGGTTGGTTCAGCAGACTCCCAGGACATCCAGCTGTGTGGGATGGGTATCCAGGCTGAACACTGCATCATAGACATCACAGCTGACCAAGGGGTGGTCCTCACTCCTCACAGGAACTCAAGGTATGTCTAGAACACTCCTCTTCGTCTCCAACATCACCATCATTCCCAGTGGGGCAAAACTACAACCAACTGGTTGAAATCTGGTTGTAAAAAAGGTCATTTGTTACCAATTTTGCCCCCTGGCACCTGGCACGCCACAAGGAGTCACGGTACACCAGCGTAGTCATCAATATCATCTCAACGCACCACATCATCAGAATGGTCATTGTTGACATCTTTATCCTGGTCACCCCACTGTGACTCCTCACCTCATGACTCCCCTGCTTCCAGATAAGGATGATATCATGTTGCCTTTAGGCCCTTAGGGATTACATGGCCTGCTTGCAGAGGAGGCTGGTGGGAGGAGCTATAGGAGGACAGGCTGGTTGTAATGGCTGGAATGGAATCAATGGAACGGTATCAAACACATCAAACATATGGAAACCACGTTTGACTCCTTCCCAATATTCCATTCCAGCCATTACAATGTGCCCATCCTCCTATAGCTCCTCCCACCAGCCTCCACTGCCTGCTTGAATGAGTTAACTGTATGGTAATCTTCTTGTGGTTTAATTGTTGATGTTACAGAACGTGTGCATTATCATGTTTTTATGATGTTGTGGTTATGTTGCAGAACGTGTGTGAACGGCTCTCCTTGCACCAGCCCTCAGCAGCTCCACCATGGAGATCGTATCCTGTGGGGAAACAACCACTTCTTCAGGTGTGTGTCTTTGTGCGCATGCACACGTGTGTATCTTGGAACAGTTATGACAATACTGCAAATCACAATGTCTCCCTCAGCTACTGGTCCTGGTTTAAAACAATTCACCTGTTATACTGTGTATTCACCATAGTACTGAAACCCCTCGCTCTCTCTCCCCTCCCTCCTCTCTTCCCTTCTCTCTCTCTCTCCCCTCCCTCCTCTCTCCCCTCCCTTCCTCCTCTCTCCCTTCCCTCCTCTCTCCCCTTCCCTCCTCTCTCTCCCTTCCCTCCTCTCTCTCCCTTCCCTTCCTCTCTCCCCTCCCCTCTTCCCTTCCCTCCTCTCTCCCCTCCCCTCCCTCCTCTCTCCCTCCCTCCTCTCTCCCTCCCTCCTCTCTTCCCTTCCGCCTCCTCTCTTCCCTTTCCCTCCTCTCTCCCTTCCTCCTCTCTCCCTTCCCCTGCCTCCTTCCTCCCTTCCCTCCTCTCTCCCTCCTTCCCCTCCCTCCTCTTCCCATTCCCCTTCCCTTCGCTCCTCTCTCCCCTATCCGTCCTCTCTCGCCTCCCTCCTCTCCCTCTCTCCCCTTCCCTCCTCTCTCCCTTCCCTCCTCTCTCCCTCCCTCCGCTCTTCATCCCCATCCCTCCCTCCTCCCTTCCGTCCTCTCTCGCTCTCCCTCGCATCCCTCTCCCTTCCCAGTCCTCTCTCCCCTCCCTCCCGGGGCCCGGGCCCCCCCCTCCTTTCCTCGGCCTCCTCCTCCTTCTCCGCCCTCGAGGGCGGAGAAAACCCAAAAAGCCCCGGAAACAATTTTCCCAAAACCGCCTGCCCAAAACCTCTCGGGAAAACCCTCCCTCCTTCTCCATCGCTCCCTCCCCCTCCCTCCTCTCTAAAACCCCCCCCTTCCTCTCTTCATTCCCTCCTCTCTCATCCCTCCCTCCTCTCTCCCTCCCTTCGCTTCTCTCCAAGGTCCCTCCTCCTCCTTCTCTCAACCCTTCACCTCCTCTCGTTCCCTTTCCCTTCCCCTCCTTACCCTTCCCCCTCCCTCTCCATCTCTCCCCTTCCCCTCCCCCTCCTCCCTCCTTCTCCCTTCCCTTCCCTCCTCTCCCCTCCCACCCCTCTCTTCGCCCTCCCTCCTTCCTTCCCCTTTTGCCTCCAAATCTCCCTCCCCCCTCCTCTCTTTCCCTGGTCCGGCCTCTCGCCTCCTCCCCTTCCCCCTCTCTCCCCCCTTCCTCCTCTCTCCCTTTCCCCCCTTCTCTGTTTCCTCCCTCCCTCCTCCGGCTCCCCTCTTCCTCTCTTTCCCTCCTCCCCCCCTTCCTCCTCTCTTCTCCCTGGCCCTTCTCCCCTCTCCTCTTTTCTCCTCCCCCTCCCTTACTCTCTCCGTCCTCACCCCTCCCTTCTCCCCCTTCTGCCCTCGCTTTCACGTCCCTCCCTCCCCTCTCTGCGCCCTCGCCCCCCTCAATCTCACTTCCTCTCCCTCCCATCCTCCTTTTTCCCCCTTTTTCCCCCTCCCCTCCCCCTCCCTGACCCTTCCCCCTTTCCCCCCTCTCCTTCCCCCCCTTTTCCTTCCCCCTTCTCTTCCCCCCCCCCCTCCGTTTTCCCTCCTCCTCCCCTTTTTCCCCCCTCCCCCCTTTTTCCCCCCCTTCCTCTCTCCGCCCCTTCCCCTTTCCCCCCCTCCCCCGGGCCCCTCCTTCTCCCTCCCCTCTTCTTCCCCCCCCCCCCCCTCCCCGTCCTCTCCCCCCTCCCTCCCTCCTCTCCTCCCTTCTCTCTCCCCTTTCCTCCTCTCTCCCCCACAGGATCAACCTGCCTAAGTGGCGGTCGCGGTGTGGCGGTGAGGAAGAGGAGGCTGAGGGGGGCCTGATGAAGAACAGTAGCAGTAGTGAACAGCTGGAGGGGGACGGAGACAACAACAGTGAGGTTTCCTCTGAGGTCTCCTTCTCCTACGAGTTCGCCCAGACAGAGGTCATGATGAAGGCCCTGGGCAACAACGGTGAGCACACACACACACACAGACACACACACACAGACACAGGTCCTTACAAACAACGATGAGAATGGAGGGATGTGTATAAAGGAGGGAAAGGAGGAAGGGAGAACTAATGATAAACGCCCTCAGAAACAAATAACATGTTGAGAATCACTGATTGACTGCAACTTCTGTCCGTCACACCGCATATGAATCACGATTGGTTGCTTATCCGAAACCCCCGTTCTTGTTTGGCTCTCGTCCCTGTCCATCACCTTCAGACCCCATGCAGGCGGTGCTACATTCCCTAGAGAGGCAGCACGAGGAGGAGAAGCGCTCGGCGCTGGAGAGACAGAGGCTGATGTACGAACAGGAGCTGCAACAGCTGAGACGACGGCTGCACCCGGACAGACCGTCTGTAGGACAGACAGGCACGGCCCCCAACCAATCACAGGGCCAGGCCGACAGGCCGGGACAGCCCCACTACCGCAGCCTGGAGAGACTCAGCATGTCCAACTCACCCAGCGCACAGAGCAGGCTGAGGCAGTGGAGCGAGGAGAGGTGAGTGGGAGAGGGAGGGTGTGTGTGGAACACAGGGTTGGGGAGATGGGCTGTGTGTGTGGCTGATCTTGTCAAATACTAGGCACAATGATTGAAAGTGTTGATGATGACAGTGGTCTCTTCTCTAAAGAGGCAGTGTTGGCCTGTGTGTGTGTCTCTGTGTGTGCGTCTCTCTCTGTGTGTGTGTGTGTGTGTGTATTATGATGATGATGATGATTCCCCCCTCAGAGAGGCAGTGTTGACCCGGAGCTTGCGTAAGCTGAGGGAGCAGATAGTGAGAGCTAACCTGCTGGTGCAGGAGGCTGGCTTCATAGCAGAGGAGCTGGATAAACGCACCGAGTACAGAGTCACCTTGCAGATACCTGCTGCTAACCTCAACGCCAACCGCAAGGTACACATAAGCATTAGCATGCACATATGTATACATAGGCACGCACACACACTTTGTGCAGTGTATAGCTTCTCTCTCTCTCTCTGTCTCTCTCTCTCTCTCTCTCTCTCTCTCTCTCTCTCTCTCTCTCTCTCTCTCTCTCTGTCTCTGTCTCTGTCTCTCTCTCTCTCTCTCTCACATAAAGACACACACACACCCTAACCCCCTCTGTCTCTCTCCCTCCCTCCTCATAGCGTGATGCAGTGCTGAGTGAGCCTGCGGTGCAGGTGAGGCGCAAGGGGAAAGGGAAACAGATCTGGGCTCTGGAGAAGATGGAGAACAGACTGGTGGACATGAGAGAACTGTACCAGGAATGGAAGGACTATGACGAGGACAACCCCGTGAGTGTGTGAGGGTGGTTGTGCATAAGAGTGGATGAGTGTGTGTGTGTGTGTGTGTGTGTGTGTGTGTGTGTGTGCGTGGTAACCCGTCCAGTCAGTGTTGATGGAGTGTGAGTGTGGTGGTGAGAACTTGGACTACAACGAAGACGAACCCTGTGTGACAAATCATTGTTTTTGAGAGTCTAGTCCATTCAGATGTACACAAACGCCATGTAAGGTGGTGCTAGCAAGCATGCTAGGTATCAACAGCCAATTGACTAGTGGCTGGAAGCTATAGTGCGCTTCGATTGGTTAATCGGGCCAAGATATCGCAGAGTATTTGCTTGCAATGCCCAACGCTGCCCCGCCCACTTCACTTCCCTCCCTTGAAAATGAATGGAAACCCACATCATCTTCAGTTAAAACGTGCTGTAAGGGCTCCATTTGGGATCTCTCATTTATCTTCTCTCCTCTCTCCTCTCTCCCCCTCCTCTCCAGGTGATGCGTTCCTACTTTAAGCGTGCCGACCCGTTCTTTGACGAGCAAGAGAACCACAGTCTGATCGGCGTAGCCAACGTCTTCCTGTCCTGTCTGTTCTATGATGTCAAGCTGCAATATGCAGTACCCATCATCAACCAGAAGGGGGAGGTAAAGAGACGGCCTTCAGAATCACATAACACCAGGGTTGTATTCATTACAGACAGCGTAGCAGAACTTTTTTGCAACGGAATTAGAAAAAAAGCATTTCCTATTGGACAAATTCAGGTAGTTCCTCCCTGTTTCAGTCTGTTTTATTCTGTTAATCGCCAAATGAATACAATCCTGTTTCTCAACCAGTGATGTCCAACTTGTGTTCCAGCCCAGCACTAACACACCTGATAAAACAAATCTTCATCTAGATTGACAACTGCCCAAGGTGTCTTGGTGATGTGCTGAAATGAAAACCTCACATTGTCGCACAGTGATGATGCAGCACAGAATCAATGGTGTTTCATCCAGGCGTTGGTTGTCTTGTAGGTGGTTGGGAGGTTACACGTGGAGGTGGTGAGAGTGGCGGGTGGGTTTGAGGACAGCATGGCTGGGGGAGAGGACAATGAGGCCAGCCCCGACGGAGAGGTGCAGGAGAGGAAACTGGTCTGCATGGTGAGTCCGTTTTGGATACGAGCGGAAACACTCATAGAATACACACATGCTTACACACACACACACACACACACACAGGAAAGTCACTTTTTTATATGGTTCGTCTGGAATGCCAAGCAATATAGTTTGCTTGTTCTCTTTCGAATCATATTTAATCATATCCTCTCTCTCCCGCCCGATCTCTCTCTCTCTCTCTCTCTCTCTCCCGCCCGATCTCTCTCTCTCCTCTCTCTCTCTCTCTCTCTCTCTCTCTCTCTCTCTCCCTTCTCTCTCTCTCCCCTTCTTCTCTCTCTCTCTCTCCTTCTCTCTCTATCCCTCCTCCTCTCTCCCTCCCTCTCTCCACCCCCCCCTCTCTCTCTCTCTCTCTCTCTCCAGATCAAGATTCTTCAGGCAACAGGTCTCCCCCAGTACCTGTCCAACTTTGTCTTCTGCCAATACTCGTTCTGGGACCAGGCGGAGCCCGTAATTGTGGCCCCAGAGGTGGACCCCTCTGCCTCGTCCACCAGCAGCAAGGACCCTCACTGCATGGTGGTCTTTGACAGCTGCAAGGTCAGACATCCAATTCAATTTAAAATGCTTTATTGGCATGGTAAAAGTACTTGTATTGTAAAAGCAACAATGTTGAAAAATCCAACAGGATATAAAATGAATGTACATCTCAGTCATGTTGCAGATAGTTCTTATGGTTCAGGATGAATCAGGTAGCCTGGTTAAACCAGTGGTGAGCGCAGCATTCAGTCTAGTTTAACCAGGTTATGTATCAGGACCCTTCCTATCTTCTTACAGTATTTGTATTGTTCCGCTGTAGTGTGTTTCTGCTAATGGACCTCTTTCTTTCGGTTTTCTATGCTATTCTTTCTGCCCTTTCTAATTCTGTTTTTCTTTCTCTCTGTATCTCCCCCTATAGGAGATAGGTGTGGCAGTAACAGAGGAGTTTATAGAGTATCTGACAGAGGGGGCAGTGGCCATCGAGGTGTACGGACACAGACAGGCCGACGCCGGCAGAAACCCTGCCCTCTGGGACCTCAGCATTATACAGGCCAAGACACGCACGCTACGGGACAGGTGCACACACACACACAGTTACACAGCACAAAGTGACACCAACACATGCCAGAGGTTCCATTTCCACATAAAAGCAACCTTCTAAATTCCATATTGGTGTTCTGTTGTGTGTCTGTCTCCCCCTACAGGTGGAGTGAGGTAACACGTCGTCTGGAGATGTGGATCCAGGTGTTGGAGATCAACGAGAACGGAGACTTCATGCCTGTAGAGGTCATACCTGTCAGAGACGTACGCACAGGAGGTATATTCCAACTACGACAGGTAGGTGTTACGCCTGTGTGTGCATGTCTGTGTGTGGCTATCCCCAAATATGTTTTTTTCCTATTTAATCAGGAATTCCAAATTGTCCTTTACCTCAGAATGAAAAAACCAATCCATTACATATTTGCGTCAGGAACATGAACACAACAATACACAGAGAAGAAAAACAGGAAAGTCAACCAACTGAATTGTTTATTGATTCAGTAAGAGGAAGGCCCAGCTGTTTTCACCACTAATGTTCTATGTTGTGTTGTTTCCATGTGTGTCCCTCAGGGCCAGTCCAAAGGCATGTAAGGGAATTTTATCTGTAATCTCTTGCTCCCTCTATCCCTCTCCTTCACCCCCTCCCTCCCCCTCAGGGCCAGTCGAGACGTCTGCAGGTGGAGGTGAAGTCTGTGCAGGACAGCGGGACCATGCCGCTGATAGCGGAGGTTCTGCTGGCCGTGTCCGTGGGTTGTGTGGAAATCAGACCGACACGCCAGGCCAAGGCCAACAACCAACCCATACAGGTAACACACACGGACACATACCTATGCACATACAGTGCATTCGGAAAGTATTCAGTCACCTTGATTTCTTCCACATTTTGTTACGTTACAGCCTTATTCTAAAATTTATAAAATTGTTTTTTCCTCCTCATCAGTCTACACACAATACCACATAATGACAAAGCAAAAACAGGTTTTTAGAAATGTTAACAAATGTATTAAAAATAAAAACCGGAAATATCACATTTACATAAGTATTTAGACCCTTTACTCAGTACTTTGTTGAAGCACTTTTGGCAGCAATCTTCTTGGGTATGACGCTACAAGCTTGGCACACATGTATTTGGGGATATTCTCCCATTCTTCTCTGCAGATCCTCTCAAACTCTTTCGGTGTGTAGATTGATGAGGAAAATGTTTAATCCATTTTAGAATAAGGCTGTAATGTAACAAAATGTGGAAAAGGGGAAGGGGTCGTAGCTGGCCGCGACCGGGAGACCCATGGGGCGGCGCACAATTGGCCCAGCGTCGTCCAGGGTAGGGGAGGGAATGGCCGGCAGGGATATAGCTCAGTTGGTAGAGCATGGCGTTTGCAACGCCAGGGTTGTGGGTTCAATTCCCACGGGGGGCCAGTATGAAAAAAATATCATAATAATGTATGCACTCACTAACTGAAAGTCGCTCTGGATAAGAGCGTCTGCTAAATGACTAAAATGTAAATGTAAATGTCTGAATACTTTCCGAATGCACCGTACTATGCAGGAAGATGGCAATGGCTGCGAATGCCATTTACGATATGTCTGTTCTGTACTAATATAATTGTATATTTTGTTGTTTGTCTCACAGATGGAGGGGGATGAGATGGACAGCTATCAGGTAAACACTTCACTGTCCTGTCTCGACTGAAATATCTCTTTCATATATCCTCACTGTATCTGATCAAATCAGACGACTCCGCTGAAGAGGATGCTAAAATGCATGTGCCTGTTTCTGTGGGTCTGTGATGGATTGGTCATGTCTGTGTCTTTGTTTTTTTGTGATTGTTTCGTCTGGTCTCCCACCTCTGCACTCGCTTTGGTTGATTGGTCCTGTTCTCGCTCTGATTGGTCATCGGTGTGTGTTCTGTCCAATAGGAGCGTGATCTGGAGCGTCTGCGTCGCCAGTGGCTGACGGCTCTCACCAAGAGACAGGAGTACCTGGACCAACACCTCCAGACCCTGGTCAGCAAGCCAGGTAACACACCGACACACAAACACTGCAGTCAGTGTATAGTGGAGGAACGAGGAAGTATAACTACCTTTACTGGAGTAGCGTTTGGGCGGCAGGTCAAAGGGCACAGCAAATGAGGGAGAGGAAGTGGTGGCAGGAAACAGAATCCTCTGGTCAGGGAAGGTAGTCACGTTCTGATTGCCTACACATCTGTGTGAACATCTGGGTGGAGTTGAAGAAGAAAGACATTGACACTGTTGTGCTCCCTGTACAGAGAAGACAGAGGATGACGTGGAGAGGGAGGCCCAGCTGTTGGAATGGCGCCTGACACTGACCGAGGAGAGGAACGCCGTCATGGTGCCTTCAGCCGGGAGTGGCATCCCTGGAGCTCCCGCAGAGTGGTGAGAGAGAGAGTGTGTGTGTGTGTGAGAGCGGGAGAGTTGGGGCTAGACTTAAATGTAAAATGATCACACAGTTATTTTATCATAAATGTTAATATTGTTCAGGAAGTGAATCTGACAATTGTGTAAATTTTTTGTGTCTTTAGGGTGCCCTTACCTGGAATGGAGACCCATACCCCTGTGCTTTTCCTGGACCTCAGTGGTAAGTTCTCCTTCTTAAGTGTTATAATATCTCTGACTGGTTTAGTGACAATAAGTAAATCATTCAAATCCTCACTTTTCTCTTACTTCTCCATCTACTCCCCCCTCTCCCCCCTTTCTCTCTCCCATCCCCGCATTATCCATCTCCCCTCCCCCCTTCTCTCCCATCCCCCCCATCCCCACTTTCTCTCTTTCCCCACCCCCCTCTTTCTCTCCCATCCTCGTCCTCTCTCTCTCCTCTCCAGCGGATGACTTCAGTTCCCAGGATGCCTTGGAGGTCCCGGAGGCTGGGGGTTGGGACGCCACTCTGAGCGGCGAGGACGAGGAAGAGTTCTTCGACCTGCAGATCGTCAAACACTACGATGAAGAGGTGCGCACCAGGGTCCTTTTCATCAGGGCACGGCGTAGTAGTAAAACGTTTTGCAATGGAAAACCAAAACAAGTGTTTCTCATTGGGCAAGTCCACCTAACCCCCCCCCCCCCCCCCCCGTTTCAGCAGTCCGTTCTCCATATGGTCCCTAACAGGGTCGCAAAATTCCCAATATTCCCAGGTTTTTCAGAAATTTGAAATCTGAAATCCATGAACCAGGATTTCTGGAAAACGTGGGAATTTTGGGAAAGTTACTGGAATTTTGCATCCTTAATGAACACAACCCTGTATCCCCACCCCTTCTACTAGGTAAAAGCTGAGGCGTCGTGGGACTCCACAGTGCACCAGTGTCCCCAGCTGAGCCGCGGTGGAGCGTGGACGGAGCAGAGGGTGTATCTGACGGTGCGCTGCGTGGTGCAGCTCAGCCATCCGGCAGACATGCAGCTGGTGCTGAGGAAACGGATCTGTGTCAACCTGAACCCCAGCAGACAGGGCTTCGCTCAGAACCTCCTCAAGAGGATGTCCACGCGCTCCTCTATCCCCGGCTGTGGGGTCACCTTTGAGGTGGTCTCCAACATCCCCGGGGTGAGGATGGGACACAGGAAGGAAACAGGAAATGACTTAATTTATCATCAATTACTATGGCTCTTTTTGGTAGTGATTTACTACAATGGCTACAAGTCTGTCCTCTCCTCACGTCCTCTCCTTCGTTGCACTGATATGAAGAAGGTGAAATGCCTAACCTAATGATGCCCTTGGCACGACCATATTGTTTTCACCTGTCAAGTAGTGTTTTCCAACCAGTGCAGATGAAGGGGATTTTTTAGCAATTGAGATAGTCTGTGTCTTTTTGGCAGCTCTACTCTCTCTCTCTCTCTCTCAGGATGCCCAGGGTTCAGAGGACAGGGAGATGTTGGCTCGTCTAGCTGCCAGCACTGAGAACCCCAAGTCGGCCGACAACGAGGCAGCCATAGAGAAATACCTCCGCAGTGTCCTGGCCGTAGAGAACGTCCTCACTCTGGACCGCCTACGACAGGTCACTATACACCTTCACACTAGGACTATCTACCTACGACAGGTCACTATACACCTTCACACTAGGACTATCTACCTACGACAGGTCACTATACACCTTCACACTAGGACTATCTACCTACGACAGGTCACTATACACCTTCACACTAGGACTATCTACCTACGACAGGTCACTATACACCTTCACACTAGGACTATCTACCTACGACAGGTCCACTATACACCTTCACACTAGGACTATCTACCTACGACAGGTCACTATACACCTTCACACTAGGACTATCTACCTACGACAGGTCACTATACACCTTCACACTAGGACTATCTACCTACGACAGGTCACTATACACCTTCACACTAGGGACTATCTACCTACGAAAGGTCACTATACACCTTCACACTAGGACTATCTACCTACGACAGGTCACTTATACACCTTCACACTAGGACTATCTACCTACGACAGGTCACTATACACCTTCACACTAGGACTATCTACCTACGACAGGTCACTATACACCTTCACACTAGGAACTATCTACCTACGACAGGTCACTATACACCTTCACACTAGGACTATCTACCTACGACAGGTCACTATAACCTTCACACTAGGACTATCTACCGACGACAGGTCACTATACACCTTACACTAGGACTATCTACCTACGACAGGTCACTATACACCTTCACACTAGGACTATCTACCTACGACAGGTCACTATACACCTTCACACTAGGACTATCTACCTACGACAGGTCACTATACACCTTCACACTAGGACTATCTACCTACGACAGGTCACTATACACCTTCACACTAGGACTATCTACCTACGACAGGTCACTATACACCTTCACACTAGGACTATCTACCTACGACAGGTCACTATACACCTTCACACTAGGACTATCTACCTACGACAGGTCACTATACACCTTCACACTAGGACTATCTACCTACGACAGGTCACTATACACCTTCACACTAGGACTATCTACAGCAGCTTTTTCCAAACTCGGTTTTGGGGAACCAAGGTGTGCCCATTTCGTTTTTTCCCCAGCACTACACAGATGATTAAACTAATCAAAGGCTGATGATGAGTTGGTTATTTGAAAAAGCTGTGTAATACTAGGGCAAAAAACAAAATGTGCACCCCTTGGGGTCCCCAGGAAACGCTGGTCACATGCTTAACACAAATTTGTATTAACAGTACTGTTGCTTATTTCATGTTCCTGTTTTGTGAGTGTGTGTAGGAGGTGGCGGTGAAGGAGCACCTGGCGGGCAAAGGGAAGGGCAACAGACGCAGTCTCAGCTCCCCCAGTGTACACAGGGTAAATGGCACATTTTCTGTAAAAAACTAAAGCAAAAAAGTATGTTGGGGTATTACTGGGTCCTATTGATTTATTGAATAGTTTTAAGCCACTGAGGTCATGACATTTCTCTTTTTCCCTGCCTTCCTTCCTTCCTCCCTCTCTCTCTTTCTCTCTCCTTGTCGTCTTCAGCTCTCTGGCAGCAAACAGGACCTGTCATCTAACTGCAATCTGGACGACAACAAGGTACAACCCTGTTGAAGCTGTAGAACTGTTACTATTCAATCTGAACAACCCCACATCCCAAACTACACGGATCAACCCTCACATCTTTTAACTCTTGTTTTTTTCTCTCTCTTCTCTTCTCCAGACACGCTGGGAGAGCCAGCAGGACATCTTCATGACCTCGCCCCAGTTCAGCCACACCCTGCCTCGCCCCTCCTCCTCTCCCCCTACTATTCCCTCACAGAACCTGAGCCAGGACCCAGAGCAAGGTAAGGGCCTGACTCCCCCTCTCCTCTACTCTCCCCTCCCCTTGCCCCCCCTTCCCTCTCTACCTTTCTCCCCCTGAGAACTGCTCTACTAACCTGGCCTTGCTGACTCTACCTCAGTCTCCACCTCTCTCTCTCTCTCTCTCTCATCATCTCTCTCTTCTCCTGTCATCGCTCTCTCTCTCCTCCTGTCATCGCTCTCTCTCTCTCTCCGCCATGTCATCCGCTCTCTCTCTTCTCCTGTCATCGCTCCCCTCTCCCTCCTTTCTCCTTGTCATCGCTCTCTCTCTTCTCCTGTCCATCGCTCTCTCTTCTCCTGTCATCGCTCTCTCTCTTCTCCTGTCATCGCTCTCTCTCTCCTCCTGTCATCGCTCTCTCTCTCCTCCTGTCATCGCTCTCTCTCTCCTCCTGTCATCGCTCTCTCTCTCCTCCTGGTCCACCGCTCTCTCTTCGCTCTCTCTTCTCTTCTCTCTCTCCTGTCATCTCGCTCTCTCTCTTCTCCTGTCATCCTCGCTCTCTCTCTTCATCCTGTCATCGCTTCTCTCATCTCTTCTCCTGTCATCGCTCTCTCTCTCTTCTCCTGTCATCGCTCTCTCTCTCTCTCTCCTGTCATTCGCTCTCTCTCTTCTCCTGTCATCTCCTCTCTCTTCCCTTCTCCTGTCATCGCTCTCTCTCTTCTCCTGTCTCGCTCTCTCTCTTCTCCTGTCATCTCGCTCTCTTCTCTCTTCTCCTGTCATGCTCTCTCTCTCTTCTCCTGTCATCGCTCTCTCTCTCTTCTCCTGTCATCGCTCTCTCTCTCTCTTCTCCTGTCATCGCTCTCTCTCTCTTCTCCTGTCATCTCTCTCTCTCTCTTCTCCTGTCATCTCGCTCTCTCTCTTCTCCTGTCATCGCTCTCTCTCTCTTCTCCTGTCATCGCTCTCTCTCTCTTCTCCTGTCATCGCTCTCTTTTCTGTGCAGTAGACCTTTGGTGTGGTTCTGTCTTTCCTGTCTACTAGGTTGTCTCCTGTTTTAAGTGTTCTTTGTTTGATTTCACTTTCTCTCAGTGATGTCATTGAAATGGATGTGAGAGTGACCCAATGACAGTTAATTATTCAAATTAATTGGCAATATTTTATGATTATAATCCAGAGATTATAATATGTTATCACATGCTAAAATCATCTTCTTTATTTGATTATTTTCGGTTATTTTAATCAATTCTTTGTCTTGTCTCTGACCTGGTCCAGCCATTTTCTTCATTGTGTGTCTTTTTTCAATGTCATTTCCTGGGCTTGCTTTTCAACTTCCTGTCTTAATCACTCACACTTCCGCTACCTTCCAATCCTCCCATCTTTTATTCCTGCTCCTCATCTCTTTTACTCCTCCTCCTCCTCCCTCCTCTTCTCTTCTCTTCTCTCACCGATTCTCCCCTCAGGTCGTTCAGGGCTTGCTGCCTCTTATCTTTCAGTCAAAGCCCTGGTGCCACAGATGCCCAAGCTGCTCAAGTCGCTGTTCCCTGCCCGCGAGGACAAGAAGGAGCCCCTACGCCCTTCACCCCACTCTCTACAGGTAGGGCACACATACCCCTCTGACCTTCCGTCATCCAGTGACCTTTTGACCTTTTGGTTGAAAGAAATTGTTCCCTTTTTTATGTTGTGAACCCACTGAAGCCTTTCCCATTTTCTTGTGATCCACCAAATAAACCGAACCCTGTTTCTAGCCACAGCACCAGTCAGTAACTGGGAGCCCAGAGAAACTGGACGGTCGATGTGAGTCTATAATCCACTATAGTTCACCGTCTCCTCATCCTCTGCCTCCATAAAGACACATTTCTGTCTGACTCAGAAACCATTGCTGTAATCCATGCTTTCTTTTCAGTGTGGCCTATATTTCCATTTTTATTTTGTCCATCAGGCCTTTTACCAGGTGCTGATATCACAATGAGACTCATCGTCATCTGCATTTGAGCGGAGGAAAGTGGAGATGGTTTTTAGGGCATTCAGAGGAAGACACGTCTAGACCAGTGAATGTTACACTCAGCTTCCAGATGAAACACACTTGTATAATAGGCTTTTAGACGAGCCGCTCTCAGAAGACAGACTGGGGGTAGAGTCTAGTGGTATTATAGTCATTATAGCACCGTGATGCAATGACTTCAATGGAAGGTAAGCATGAATGAATGATTTAACACAAAAAACAAAGCGCTAATTCCTACATCTCTCCAATAATGTTTTATAAGGGATCCTCAAAGCATTGGTCTAAGGGACCACACACACCGCACCTAATGTTGATCTGCTGTTGATCTGCCGTTTGTTCGGCGTGGTGTGTTTTAGGGACCACCCGCTGTAGGGCTGGGCGATAAATCAAATTAGATTCATTTGAATGTATGTTTTTGCACAATATTCCAAATGCCTGTATTGCGAAAATCAACTTATTTTACATTTTCTATGAGCGTTTATGTCCGTTTGTTCTCCTGTTGTTTTTTGGGTCTCGCCTCCTTCACTCCTTCTGCTGTGACTGGGCACCTACCCATTTACACACCAACCCCCCTCATACACACCGAGACCCTCCCCCCCCCCACACACCAAGCCCTTCCCCCTGCCACTCACAACAACAAAGATACATTTTAGTCATTTAGCAGACGCTCTTATCCAGAGCGACTTACAGTTAGTGAGTGCATAATTATTATTTTTTTCATACTGGCCCCCCGTGGGAATCGAACCCACAACCCTGGCGTTGCAAACGCCATGCTCTACCAACTGAGCTACATCCCTGCCGGCCATTTCCTCCCCTACCCTGGACGACGCTGGGCCAATTGTGCGCCGCCCATGGGTCTCCCGGTCGCGGCTGGCTACGACAGAGCCTGGATTCTAACCACGATCTCTAGTGACACAGCTAGCACTGCGATGCAGTGCCTTAGACCACTGCGCCACTCGCAGAGTGAGAGATCACTTCTTCCTCTCTGTCAAACAGTTTCAACTCGCTATTTGAAGTTTGAAGTTTGGTTCAACATAATCAGTCATATGATCATCGAAACACATCGAGACATTATTTTACTGCAATAGAGGATACCCTTTTTATGTTTCAACTCCTCAAAATGAACATTGATTGATTCTGGAAAATGATTGCTCAGTTTCTGTTGTGTGTGGCATTGCGGTACAATGTACCACTAGCAGGATTTTAGCCACAGACTGTTATACTAGCTGTCTAGTCTGTTTTTATAAATGTGCAATAAGGTATAGTTTCACGAGCCCTGAATTCATTGGATTATTGCTCAATGTTTACCTTTAATTGTACAACAAAGCTTATTTAGAGAAAACATAAAAATAATTGAGTGATATACAGTGCATTCTGAAAATATTCAGACCCCTTGACTTTTTCCACATTTTGTTATGTTACAGCCTGATTCTAAAATGGATTTTAAACAATTACACACTCTACACATAATACCCCATAATGACAAAGTAAAAACAGGTTTTTACAAATTTTTGCAAATGTATTAAAAATAGAAAACGGAAATATCACATTTACATAAGTATTCAGACCCTTTACTCAGTACTTTGTTGAAGCCCTTTTGGCAGCAATTACAGCCTTGAGTCTAAGGTCAATTTTGAGTCTCATAGTAAAGGGTCTGAATACTTATATAAATGTGATATTTCAGTTTTTTATTTTTAATACATTTGCAAAAAATTCTAAAAACCAGTTTTTGCTTTTCATTATGGGGTATTGTGTGTAGATTGATGAGGGAAAAAACAATTTTATCGATTTTAGAATAATGCTGTAACGTAACAAAATGTGGAAAAGGGGAAGGGGTCTGAATACTTTCCGAATGCACTGTTTCATGAATCGGCCATAAGTTAGAGGGGGGGAAAAGGATGATTTTTAGGCCATATCGCCCAGCCCTAACCAGCTGGTGGACATCTGACTGCTGACATTTTGGCGCGTTTCTACATGTAGAATCGATTTGCACAAATGTTTTCAAATTAAGTGCCAGCACTTTGTTTAGAGGTGCTAAGTACTCTCGGCCGGCAAACACTACCAGTGTGTCCGAGCCTTAAGGTAAAGGAAGAACAAAAAAAAGTTGGACAGGGCCTTTCCCCCAATCTATCTCCTTAATGCTGAGTGCCAGTCTTTGGTTTGACTCGGCCGAGGATCGAACTCCCAACCTTCCAAACCCAGGGCGGACACTCACACCAAATGCCACTGAGTTGGTTATGTCCATATATAATGAAGTCTAAAGTCGCTGAACACTGGATGTAAGATATGCCAAGCTTGCTATTTAATTTCCATAAAGACGATATGTTTAGTTATTTGGTAATACCACCATCTGTTTGTCATTCTTTAAAGATAGATAATTCTACAATGGATTTAGCCATTATTTTTTGGGGATTAAAACCATTTTTGTAAAGAGCTGAATATAATCAACTGAGCTTTTCGACTTTTTAAATTAACTCCTAAAGTTATGGACAATGTGAGAGAATACTGATGTATTTCAATGAACAATTGAATCTTTTCTTCAAACCTTTGAACATAATTGTGTTTCTCTGTCTTCCTGGCAGCACATGCCTCGTATCATCATGCAGACAACGGGGCCTGAAGACAGCAGGATCCGGATAGAACCGGTAAGAACCCTCTGTCATCTCTTTTCAACTCTCCTCCTGTCTGCTCCCCCTTTATTAGTGTTCTACTCCCTATGAGCACAATACGTTAAAAATACATATTTTGGGTTGAAAGGACGTCTTTTCAACGTCTTGTGCTCACTGGGAGTTGTAGTTTGTTAGAGATCAGTCTAGTTGTAGTTGATTAGTTGAAATCAGTTAGTTTGCAACATCTCTCCAGGCTCAGACAGTGTATTGACTGTATTATGAAGCTATGGTAGGTAGTAAGCTAGGGGATCTAAGGATCTCATGATGATGATGATGAAGATGGTGGTGATGATGATCATTATGATATTGATGGAAATTGTGGTGGCGATATGCAACATGATGTCCTGGTTTGCTCCAGTCAGTCTTAAGTTTGATGGAGTTCTTAAATTCCTGTTGTGGTGTGATTGCCGTTGCCGTGATTCCTCCCCGTAGGTTGCTATGGTAGGGAGGACCACCCTTATCCCGGCCCTGACCAATGACAGGTGGTCGGAATCCACCGACGCCCCTCTTCCTGTTCAGTCCTCCCAGCATGACCCGCATGACTACCCCCTCAGCCCCATCAGCGAGGCCTCCAGCGGCTACTTCTCCACTAGCGTTTCCATGGCAACCCTGTCAGACGCTTCAGCCAGCGCCAGTGGCGACCACCCTGCCACCCCCCTCCACACCTCCTCCTCTCTCACCCTCCTAGATGCAGGGGTGGGGCTAAAGGGGATTGATGCTCCTGAAACTACGTTACCCAGAACCCAGCAGCGAGCTGAACAGAACGGTGTTACTGCTGCCTCTCCTCAGTATGACAACAAAATGGCCACCACCGGTCCCGGCTCCAACGTCAACAGCGTCACCACGGGCAACAAGCCCTTCTCCGTGCAGAGGGTGTCGACGTCGGACCTGAAGTCGTTCCAGCAGCGCATCCTGGGGGAGGAAGTGGAGGCGAGAGGAGGAGGAAGACAGGGGAGTCTGGAGAGACTGGAGATCGTCCTGGACGACGAGGATGGCGGCCGCGACTACGTGCTACCTGATTGGCTGAGAGAGGGGGTGTGCGTGACGGTGGGAGCCAATAAGGGCGGGACTGTGCGCTACGTGGGCAACACTGAGTTCGCCGAGGGTGTGTGGGTCGGGGTGGAGCTCGACTCGCCCTCAGGTGTGTTTGGTGTGTGTGTGTTTACTGTTTACACAGAATTGCATGACTCAACATAATAACACCGTAAGAAATTGAATCTATGCAAATAGCCTGAAAATAAAAATCTAGAGGACCGTGTCCTTGTCCGCATGCACATGAGACTCATCAGAGCAGGCAATGCTTAGTTTAGGAAATTCTAAATACTAAACCAACTCTCTTCCTTGTCTACCCCTCACTCCTTTCCCTTCATTCTCTCCCTCCCTCCTTCCTCTCTCCCTCTTATCTTCCTCTCCCTCTTTCCTCCCTCTCTCTACAGGTAAGAACGACGGCTCCGTAGGCGGGCGCCACTACTTCCGCTGTAACCCTGGTTACGGTGTCCTGGTGCGTCCCGACCGGGTTTTCAGACGGGAGCGTTCCACCAAACGGAACCCGGAGAACCGGCGCAGCGGCGAGTTCTACCAGCCCGTTCTGCGGGGAGAGTCCACTAACAGGCGAGGGGAGAACCGCAAGTCCTGGAGCAGCTGAACTGGAGAGAAACAGGTCTGGCAGGGAGAGACCATTATTCCACACATCCCTCTGTCTCCTGGCTCGGATCAACTAGAAAACCCACACATCCTGTTTCTAAGCCTCCGTCTCACTCAGCCCCCTCTCTCTCAATCTCCCCCTAACTATGCAATACTACTGCATCTAATGGAAAACGGTCCCTGTCCTATGCCCACTCATAGCTATGTAACAGTACCTTAGTGCTCTGGGTTAGATCTGTCTGGATTCATTTCAATAGGGAAGACCTTTACCCAACAAGCCCTTGCTGCTGCTGTGCTGTCTCCCCATCTGGACACAGCACTGGTGGTGCCGCCTGTGGCATGGATTGGGCACAGGACCTGAGTGGTTCCACAGCACCTGAAGTAGTCTACAGAGTGTTGCTGTCTATATGAAGTGACCCACAGGGTGGCCAATGGGGACTGTTTGTCCGCGGGCCAAGGTTCAGGTTCTGAAGTGATGACATCATTTCCTCTGATGTCATCAAACTCTGGTCACACTTCGAGAATCCTTCTGAAAGAATGAGACTGCTATTCCACCAGACTCTGACCGGAACCCCCATCCCTCCTCTTTTTCAATGGAACTGTCCATTTTACTCCCCTCCTCCCCCCTTATTTTTGAATGGAACGGTCCCTTTTAACTAAATGATATTATCGGTCCTTTTTGTGGACTGACATTTTAGCAGTTACTATATCTGTTTCCCCCATGTGAAGTCATTCATCTGAAGTGATCGATTCTTCCAGAATGTGCCTTCATGATTCATGAGTTTATTTTTCTTTGTAATGTTTCTTAGTGGTTTTATTTAATGCACATTTCGCCCTCTGTTGAGCTTTGACGAGAATGCCTTGTGTAAGTGTGAGGTGATCTCCTGGACTGTAGAGTGGACGTGGACGTACCTGTGAGAAGATGTGTGTGTGTGTGTGTGCCTGTGTTTTAGAAGTTTGGCCCTTGAAGCTGATTTTAACCATGGCAATGTACAGTAGGCTGGGAGAAAAATGATCCCTCTGTCTGTGTGTGTGTGTGTATGCACGTCTCCGGCTGATCTGAAATATGAAGCACCGTCGTTATGACGACGTGGTTTGTGCAACAGTAATAGCCATTGGTTTTAAATTGTAAGTTGAGAAGTCAGTTGAAGGATGTTTCCACTATGAGAAGCCCAGAGAGCAAAATTAGTTGAAATTGCTTTTCTTAAATGTATTTTTAACATCCGGGTGCTTACTGGGAGATTTTGCACGTTAGAGGTGTTAGCAGAATGGTTGTCTTTGGTTCTAGAACTGTTTGAGGAAGTAGCAGTGGTGTGTACTGGACTGCTGGTCTTGTGTGTATGTAACTTTGTGGTAACATTGTGTTCATGTTGTGGAGCTTTATGTAACGTGTGGAGCGGAAGTTGAATGGAAGTTAGGACTGGTATGTTTTATGCTGGTCATTGATTTGTGTTTGGGGAAAAAAGATCTCTGCATATGTTCACCATTTATTTTTTAGAAAGGTGCTCTTAATGTGTGTGAAGCTACAGATCTGTAATAGGGTCTAACATTTACATACTGACTCAATGGCTTTGGGAGATGAAGAAGGCAAGGATGTGGGAGCATCGTTTTTTTTAGTTTAAGTTTTACAAGCAATTTGGTTTGAAACTATGGAATTTTAATTAAAATGTTAATTGATCCCTGAAGTTCCTCCAAAATGTAATGAATCTCATTTTTATTAGACATTTGAAGTTAATACTTAAAGGGGCAATCTGCAGTTCAAACAACAACAAAGTGGGGTCCCCGCCACAGTTTTGGTAAATAGGAATGGGGCTGGAGAAATGTAACCACTCTCAAATCAATCAATGGGTGTATATCATTAATTTAAACATCCAAAAATGGATGTAACAACTGCAGATTGCCCCTTTAAATCCATTGAATAAAAATGTAAACTGTGTAGTCTCACCTAGTGAGCCGAGGTACAAGCTGTAACGGGATGCAGAATGTGTTTTAACACTAGTCCATTCAGAAAGCATGGAGCAGAGTCACAAATATGAAGGATCTGAAAGATATACCCCTTCACCATGACATTTCTTTCGAGTCTTTATCATATGCTTTAAGAGAAGCCTAAATTTGCAATGTTTCTTATATTTTAATGGTTGTACATATGCCTTTATCATGTGAAATAGACAAAGCCTTCTAAATTGTACTGAAAAAAAGTTGTTGATTGCACAAGTGATTCTATGAGAAATGGCGCTGCTATAGCCACTGTAATATAACTGTAAATTGATTAGATCATTGACATTATAATTCTTATTGGGAGTTGATCTTGATTCTAGTCTTGATTTTTAGCCTTCTATACACCACTTGAGATGGGAGAGAGTAAGGAGGAGTTGTCTATGGGCTGATGAGTGGCCAGTTGGTAGAGAGATGGGACGAGCAAGTGCTTATTTATTGTCATGGTTGCCTTTTATGTACTGGCCCCAAGTTGCTCGGACCCTTTACGTTGCTCTTACTATAGCTAGGCGTTTTTTAAAGTTTGTCGTCAAGCCTTCACCGAGTGATCATACTTGTGGTAATAGGAGGGGAACTGAGTCTCCCTGGTGTGTATGTGTGCGGTGTTGTAATGAAGAGTGAGAGAGCAGGTGGTGTATCGGATGGATTTGGCGTCTCCACACCTCTTTGCACAGAGACTGAAGAGTGTTTGAGATCACTTCAGTCTTATCTATTTCTTTATATCCCCCCCCCCTCTCTCTCTCTCTCTCTCTCTCTGTCTCTCTGTCTCTCTGTGTCTCTCTCTGTCTCTGTCTCTCTCTCTCTCTCTCTCTCTCTCTCTCTCTCTCTCTCTCTCTGTCTCTGTCTCTGTCTCTGTCTCTGTCTCTCTGTGTCTGTGTCTCTCTCTCTCTGTGTGTGTCTCTGTCTCTCTGTCTCTGTCTCTCTCTCTCTGTCTCTCTCTCTCTCTGTCTCTCTGTGTCTCTGTCTCTCTCTCTGTGTCTCTGTCTGTCTCTCTCTCTCTCTCCGTGTCTGTCTCTCTCTCTCTCTGTGTCTCTGTCTCTCTCTCTCTGTCTCTGTCTCTCGCTCCTATCCGGAAGTTGGATGATACACGCAAGTAGTTCTGATTCAAACACATTTCATTATTCAGTAACTTTTATCGGTTCATATTTCTAACTGTTAGCTCTTTTGAGATACTGAATATTTGACATTGCCGGTGGAGTCTTCGCTTCTGACTCAAAATACAGTTACAGATCTGCTCGTTCACAGGCAGTAAGGCCGGGATTCAAGCTGTTCAGGCTTTGTCAGCTATGCACCTTTTAAAGGCAATGTTCCCGCATTCGCGGAGACTTCATTCACCGTAAAAGCTATACGTAAAAATTCACAGTAATATATTTATTTTGTAATTTAGCAGACGCTCTTATCCAGTGCGATTTACAGTAGTGAGTGCATACATTTTTGTACTGAAAAGCAGGTACACGTGTACCTGAATGCTGTGTAACGCCAGGAAGGGGAAGTGACCTCCATTTGTCGTGCCTGTCATACAGGCATCCTCTGGCTTTCATTTCAATAGTCGTCATCATGGACGTTAACATATATGGTTGTGACTGTACGTGCTCAGAACCACATCAGGGGTGTATTCACTAGGAACATGAAGCAAACGAAACAAAGCGGGGAGGGACCTACCTGAATTGGTCCAATAGAAACTCTTGTTTGGAGTAAATGGAAAACCGCTTTTGCTACGGCCTGCAACTAATGAATACACCCCTGGTATTCTATTGAGTTTGACCCTTATCGACTGTCTATACCTGATTAAGGATCCATCTATACTGTTACTCTTTCATCATTCCACAGAAGGCATGTTCTGTGTTTTTAAAGAATATTTTTAATCAAGTGCTACTGTGAGCATAGATTTTTAAAGGCCCAAGATGCAACAAACTGTTATGGGGGAAATAATATTTCAAGACTATATATTTGTTTATCTTCCTTTCTAATATATGCATTTCCTGTATATCTGTATCTATGGCAACCCTGGTCCAGAGCTCAGAGCAATATGACACCTGCCTTTATGTGGCCTTCAGTCTACAAGATAGTCTTCAAGTCAGTCAGTCTGTCCGTCTGTCCCCCTCTGGGTTTAATAACTAAAAACCTCTGTCTGGCAATGCGAGACTCAATAACTACAAACCCTAACTCCCGCCATAGAGGAACCTGTATACTGTAAGAATTACTTCAATCTACACGTGGACCACATCAGACCCACTGTACACATTCAGCCACTGGCTTATGGGACAATGGGAGCTCATGTTAGTAGAGGATACTAACACAGACGTCAACTAGAGCAGAGAATCTTTACCTCCAACAGAGACATCAACTAGAGCAGAGAATCTTTTTCTCCAACAGAGACGTCAACTAGAGTAGAGAATTTTTACCTCCAACTCTCAGCGGCCACGTTCCATTTCTGTCCTGAGCTATCTCTCAGGTGTTCAATACTAAAGGGGTAGGAGCTGGAGGAAGGGGCCAGGGACAGAAATGGAATTGGGCCCGATCTTCAGACCGTTTGTACAACTCTCCTTTCACAATGGTTGCGTCTGAAATGGCACCCTACTCCCCATAGAGTGCATAGAAAATAGATAGGGTGCCAATTTGGACACGACTCACTTGAGACCAGCTCTGGTTTGTGCCTCGTCCTGGAGTCTTGAGTTATCAATATCGTTATTATTATCATTTTTAATAATCTTCAACAATAATTTGCGTATCTGATTGTGTTGTTGTGAAGTGTATTATTTGAGTATTTCTGTGAGCGAATGTGTGTAGGTGTGACTGGATGTATATATTAAGACTTAACAATCTGAGCGCAAGTTTGGGTTTTGATTAATTTAATTGTTCTGTGTAATTCTATGCTGAAATCCAAAGAATAATCATGTATTATAATTCATTTGTCTTTTTTATCGCCTGGACAATAATCTCCCTGTAAAGGAAAGAATTAAAAAATGAATTGATTTACAGATTTCTATCGTCTGCTGTTATTTTATGGATAAGGCTGCGTAAACTTCCAGAATCCTTTCAACTCATGCATTGATGTCAATGGCAATTCGAGTTAAACGTGTAGCTCAAGTTAGGATTTGAACCAATTGATACATATTTTGTGAAATCATGCAGTTAGACTTCAGTTGCTCAACAAAAACACGCATTGTTCATCGATCATTCTTTATTCTCTAGTAGGTACAGTAAACAAATGAGAAAATGTAACAAAGGCATAGTTTTCTACATATTCCATTACAGAACAGTCTACTGTCCAAAAAAGGCACTAAATTCTGAAGTAGGAGATAACAGGACTAATTTAACTATTTAAATCTGATACAACAGTGATTTATTTGATTGATATTCATCTTATAGAACATTTGTCGTTATATTTCATGTATTCAAGTTTTATGTATGAACAAGGACTGGCAATAGCTGTTCCTTCGGAATGTCAAAGGCAAAGCACCTCCCACAAAGGTTAAAGTTCATTGAGTATCAGTCTTCAGCAAATGCAACCTTTTCACCTGGTTTTGTAAACAGTACCAATTTAATTTGTAGAGATTTGACAGGGTGATGTCAGACGCAAAACCAAATAGTGTGTGATAGCGAGCTACTTGATATGGCATTAAGTCTCGAGAGACTAGTAAAGACCTCAGAAACCTGAAGGAAGAAGCTTTGCCTTTGAGTGATGCAATACAAAACACACAGGGCAGATTGTGCATATATCAAAATGGAAAACGAACAACACAAAACATGATATAAAAAATAAAAAGCATTTCATGAATCAAACGATTAATCTAATATACATTCCTGTTTGGCAGTATTTTACACATGGAAACATTTAAGTAACAAACTGAAAATAAAAATGTTTTTCTGCCTCTCTTTAGAATAGTCTTTTTTTATCTTGTAAGATACATATTTGATTAGAACAAAGCACTAGGTTAATGGCTAGCAGAACCTCAGATTCACAAGCTCTGAAGCAGCAGGAACCATCCTCAGGTCAGCTTCGCTGTCATTCAATACATACTGGATGACTTAAAGGGACAGTTCACCCCAAACATCAACGTTAGTCTCTGCACCTTGAATCTTGCATGCATGCTGGTCAGCCAACAGTCTGTCACGAGAGACACTTGTCAATACTTTAGAATTGGTCTAACGATAGACTGGGGCCATATCCCATCACTCCAATCATTGTGTAGATCTGGCAATGAGAAAGTTTCCTAATCGTTGGGAATTGAGGTCTGTAGATTTCATCATAATAGAAGGGCCTACACAACAAAACTAGTCAACTTGAATTACCCCTGTAAGGTTAGCAAAACAAAGTTATTATTTCACATTAAAAGCAGTGACCTGGGAGTTGAGGGGAATTAGCTTATAGGGAAGGGGTGGTGGGGGGAAGGTGTTTGTTGAAACACCAAATGACCCCTAACCCTTGACCCCTTACCTTTGAACACGTGTCAGCCAGCAGATCAGTCTTCCTTCCTCCTATTGCCTGCCTGGTCTGTCAATTACTCAGGATGACCAATAAGCTACGAGGGGAGGAAACTGAAGCGCCATTTACATGGTAGTTTCTCCCATAAAGTGTTTTTTCAAAAGAGAAAATACAATCTAAAAGTAAGTATCTTAGATAACAGCTTGTGTGTAGAACATATAATGGCATATAATGCATATAGAAAAGATTGAAAAAGAAGTGTTACTCCCAGTACCAATAATAATAGGGAAATGTATAATGCACCCTTGATTGGCAATCTTTTAAAAGCGTAAATAATTTCCTTTCAACTGGGGAACATGTTTATAACATCAGTAGCCTTAAATTAAGGTTAAAAGCTAAAAACAAATGCTTTGGGTACAGCTTCAATATGCTTATAGTTATCCCCATAACAACCACATACACATAAAGCCCCTCTCACTAGCTAGCATGATTCCCTCTATCTACTCCCTTCATTATTAAGAATTCAGGGGCAGTTTGTTATCATAATTCGTGAGCAATAATATAATGAATGTCTGATCTCATTGGCTTTAAACCTAACCAGTTTAGGTAGTGCTACAACAAGTGAATATATTTTAGGGAATATATAAGGCTTCTACAGAGGCCTGTTCAAAACTCTCACCACTTCCCGTCTCCCTCATACTGACAAGCTGGAGGGGGGAGACAAAGAGCGAGGGATAGAGTGATGACAGGAGTAAGAGAAAGATGGAGTGAGAGCGATGAGAGAGTAGTAAAAGGAGTAAGATAATCAAAGTGTGCAGTGCACCTTGGGGAAGAGGTGCCAAACTCAGAAAGCCAAGGCAGGGGTCCTCCATGCTTAGAGTGAGGTGTGCAGGGTTCCATAATAACCTATTCTGATTCTTTAGACCCACACAGACAAGAGATATACCATACATACACCCACAACTTTAGGACCAGACTTTCCAACACAATGCCTCTAGAACAGTCTAAAGGGGGTACAAGGGGTAGGGTGGTAGAGGTATTAGGGAATAGGGGTGGAGGTAGAACCAGGCCTCCCAACACCTCTAGAACAGTCTAAAAGTGTTTACTAGGGAGTAGGGTGGTAGAGGTATTAGGGGATGGGGTGGAGGTAGGACCCGTGGGGCAAAAAATAAATTAGTTTGACACCCCTGATTTACAGTATAACATTCCAATAAGCTCTACTTGCACCTTGACAAACTCCCAAACGTAATGTTTTCATACTCTACTATAGGCCTCATCCCCATGTGCACTCTCTCTTTCTCACTGTCACGTATACATACAAACACCTTTCCCTCCCTCTCCTCCTCAGTCTCTCTCCCCCCCACCCACTTAGTTGTCCTCCACCACCTCTGTCTTGATGTCACTGCCTGTCCCACCCAGGGCCAATCCTCCCCCCGCCTGCGTTGCCAGGGCGAGGATGCTATGATTGACCGCCGCCATCTCCACAGCGAGAGCGATGGGGTCCTGGTGCTCCAGGGCATTGCTGTGATTGGTGGAGGAGTCGTCCTGGAGGGAGGGGGGGGAGGGGACAGACCAGGACACACCTGTCAGTCTGGAACCTTCCATCCCTGCCCCCTGAGCGAGACCCGCTCCCGAGAGCAAGGAGCGGCAAATCAGAGAGCTGGCCCTCTGGGCGGCCAAGCCCCCCCTGCCCGAGCCAGGCCAAGCCGCCAGCCAACTGGGCAGCAGGGTGGGCACCTGCAACCGCAAGAGGGGGAGGAGTCATGGGTCATGTTTACACATCTGTGGTCTTCAACCCTGAGACAGACAACTGTGTGGCGCATTTACTAAGCAAAACCACGGGCCGCATTAAATCAGTTCACAGACCACATTTGGCCCGCGGGCACTGAGTTTGAGACCCCTGACCTACACTGACCTGAAAGACATGGAGAGCTAAAGCAAAGTCTACCAGGTTGCTTTCCACTGTCCTGTGTTTTCAGATCGAGAATCTGCTTTAGACTATTGAGATGCACCCTTGTTCGGTTACGGAAGCCAACTGGTTAGCATGGTCAAACGCATGCAAACAAATTATAATAATTAGTTTTCCCCCACTTGCTGGTTAGCTACCCGTCTAACAGATTTGGTATAGAGAAAAAGTTCTGTACCAAACATGGAGTACAGTATGAATATGTAACCCATAACGTAATCCAATACGATAGGAGTTCTCCTAACATTATACAGTCCATACAGTACCTGTGTGGGAGAGGACAGGTCTAGTCGGCTGATACTGAAAGGTCTGGTCCCAACTCTCTTCTCAAACAGAGGGACCTCACAGCCCTGTAGGAAAACAAAGAGGCAAGGTGTTAAACCACCCCTATAATGGCACAATGGTCTTGGCTACAATATACAACACAAACTGGGAGAGACCATTTCAATTTCTCAGGGGTGATCCACCCCTAAAAAGGTAGATTGGTCTTGGCTGTCAGATACAACACAAAGTGCATGGGTTCTGGACCATTCCACTTTCTTACGGGTGGTTACCTGGTCAGGGAAGTCATTCCCGTCGATTTCATCGCTGTTGGAGTGTCCTCCAGGGCTCTGGACTTTGATCCCATGGTTCTCCAGGATTGCTGCTTCTTCGGGAAAAAACAGACCTCGCCATAACATATCTGAGCTCACATGCACGCACACACAGACACACACCCCGAGGGGGTCGTAAACGTTACCTATGTTGGCACGTCTCTTGATCTCTTTGCGGCGGTTGGCGAACCAGTTGTAGACCTTCAGAGACGTGACCTTCTCCAGATCAGACAGCTTCTTCCCTGCACACACAAACACATGCACTCACACATACTCAGTCTTGAAAGTGACCTTACTCAATATACAGTGCCTTCAGAAAGTATTCATACCCCTTGACTTTTTACACTTTGTTGTGTTACAGCCTGAATTTTGTGTCTACACACAATACCTCATAATGTCAAAGTGGAATTATGTTTTTAGAAATGTTTATAAATTAATAAAAAATGTAAAGCTGAAATGTCTAGAGTCAGTAAGTATTCAACCCTTTTGTTATGGCAAGCCTAAATAAGTTCAGGACTAAAATTGTGCTAAACAAGTCACATATACTGAACAAAAATATAAACGCAACATTTCAACAATTTTACTGAGTTACAGTTCATATAAGGAAATAAATAAATTAGGCCCTAATCTATGGATTTCACATGACTGGGCAGGGGCGCAGCCATGGGTGGGCCTGGGAGGGACCCACTGGGGAGACAGGCCACACTCACTGGGGAGCCAGGCCCAGCCAATCAGAATGAGTTTTTCCCCACAAAAGGCCTTTATTACAGACAGAAATACTCCTCAGTTTCATCAGCTGTCTGGGTGTATGGTCTCAGACGATCCCGCAACTGAAGAAGCCGGATGTGGAGGTCCTGGGCTGGAGTGGCTACACGTGGTCTGCAGTTGTGAGGCCGGTTGGACGTACTGCCAAATGAACATTAAATTCTCTGGAAACAGCTCTGGTAGACATTATAATATAATATAATATGCCATTTAGCAGACGCTTTTATCCAAAGCGACTCACAGTCATGCGTGCATACATTTTTTATTTTTTTTTGTATGGGTGGTCCCGGGGATCGAACCCACTACCTTGGCGTTACAAGCGCCGTGCTCTATCAGCATGCCAATTGCACGCTCCCTCAAAACTTGAGACATCTGTGGCATTGTGTGACAAAACTGCACATTTTAGAGTTACCTTTTATTATCGCCAGCACAAGGTGCACCTGTGTAATGATCATGCTGTTTAATCAGCTTCTTGATATGCCACACCTGTCAGGTGGATGGATTATGTTGGAAAATGAGAAATTCTCACTCACAGGGATGTAAACAAATTTGTGTCCAAAATTTGAGAGAAATAAGGTTTTTGTGCTTATGGAAAAATTCTGGGATCTTTTATTTCAGCTGGTGTTTCTATTTTTGTTCAGTATACTTCAGATGAGTAGGCAACACTCACCAATAAGACATCCATCCTCAACAGCTCCACCTGCAGGCTGTAGGCCAACATTTCTGTTCTGCAGAATGAACGAGTCGTGCGTTCCACCTGGCCACTACATTCAGCAGTGTTTTTGGCACATCACATAACCTATCACCTGCACATTAAGAGTGGAAGCCTTTTCTGTTCACATAGTTGAACTCGTCTTGGGATGGAGCTTTTATGGCAATGTGGGTGCCGTCTATTTTTCCCTTCGTATTTGGGAACCCATTGATGGCAAAGAAACCCCTCTACGTCAACCTGTTGTGCGATGGTGAAAGGAAATTGTATGTTACAGTTGGTTTTGCTGATGATTGCCTCCAAAACAATGGCTCATCGAGGGCTGTGAGATGCCGATCTTCAATCTCCCGCTGACGTTTGCTTTTGTCTCTGAGAAATGCAGCGTGTGTCAAATCTTCCAACAGAGCAAGATCTCAGTATTTAATAGTATTTCAACAATATTCACACATGCCTCGAATTTAATGACTGTAGACCTACTTTATATGGATTATTATCGTAACAAATGCACTGATGTGGTCAAATTATATATAGCCTGTCAAGATGTGTTACATGAATTCACAATGAAATCGAGAATGATTTAATTATTACTCTCAATTCTTTTCAACATATGTTTTCCCCATTCTACGTTTGACAAGCAGTTCCCTTATTCCACCACTTGGCACTGTGCGTACTCATGGTATTGGCTGTGCGTAAATTTACGCACACTCTCGAGCAAACAATCATATTGATAAATCTCACACTTTTCATGGAAATGATCCCACGCATGGTTTACGCACAGATTTGTGCCTACGCATGATTGATAAATGAGCCCCCTGGTGTGCAAAGCTCTTAGAGACTTACCCAGAAAGATTCACAGCTGTAATCGCTGCCAAAGGTGATTCTAACATGTATTGACTCAGGGGGTTGAATACTTATCAAGATAGTGTTTTATTGTCCATTAATAAAAAAAATTACATTAAATGTGAGTATTTTGTGTAGATCGTTGACACAATATTACAATTAAATCCATTTGAATCTTACTTTGTAACAATTTTTTTTGGGGAAAAGTCAAGCGGTGTGAATACTTTCTGAAGGCACTGTAAGTACCGCTTTCCTCCTGCTGGTTCTCACCTGGCTTCTGGATGACAGCGTTGCAGGCGTTAGCGATCTCCTCTCTTTTAGCTTCATCAGGGTACTGGTTCTTATTGAAGTAACTGGAAGAGAAAACACAAATAACCACAACATTATTTATTAGGCAACATTCACTTTCTTCCAAAGGTAACGAATGCTCCTTTCCCCACTCACACCCGTTATCAAGCACAACAACAACAACTCATCACATCTGCCTCCCTTACACCCTTTCCCTCCTCAACTATTTCCCCATCACCAATCTTCTTTCTCTCTCTCTCTCTCGCTCTCTCTCTCTCCTCCTCACCTCTCCATCACAGACAGACATTCTTTCCTCCAGGTAAAGCGACTGCCTCGGCGCAGACGGAAGCTCCCGGGGGTGGAGCATATAGGGGGCGGAGTCTGCCGCAACTCCACCACGTCCTCCAGAGCCATGGGGGCGGGTTGCATCGTCAGAGTTGCACCTGGAGACACAACCATGATGTAACCATGGAAATACAACCATGATGTAACTAGCCATGGGTGTATTTAGTGAGGTGAAACGTTCAGAATGTTTGAAATCTACTATTTGGAAAATGCTGTCATTTTCATTGTTGATGAGTCCATTTATGATGATTCAGCACCCTATTGTTTAGAAGAACAATAACTTTATAGAGTGTTATATTGGCTGTGTGGCGACTATAAACGAAGAACCTGGACTGTGGACAGTAATTCACAGTCAACCCCCTCTGAAGCCTCATCAAATGTAGTGTGTGTGTGTGTGAATGTGTGTGAATGTGTGTGTGTGTGTGTGTGTGTGTGTGTGTGTGTGTGTTTGTGTGTGTGAGTGAATGTGTGTGTGAATGTGTGTGTGTGTGAATGTGTGTGAGTGTGTGTGTGTGTGTGTTTGTGTGTGTGAGTGAATGTGTGTGAATGTGTGTGTGTGTGAATGTGTGTGAGTGTGAATGTGTGTGTGTGTGTGTGTGTGTGTGTGTGTGTGTGAGTGTGTGTGTGTGCCCGGACAGTAATATGGACTCGTTTATGTAGTGAGTGTTGGTGGCATGGCTCCACAGCAAGAGCATTAACCTAATGAACAAGTAATGCTGATGGATGGCTGTGACACACACACCGCCAGGGAAAGGTGGGTTGGGAATGTGATTGTTTACATATATGTAACTCATGTAATGATCTATGGATGTTCTTGCTTGAGACTAGAACCTACATGTATAATTTTTCTGACTGCAAATCTATGACTCACATCTATGCATGTTTTTTTATTGTAACTAAAATAATAACTACAATAATATGTTATCCATCTTGATAGAGACAGTCAACACAGATCAGCAGGTTTCAAATCGGGACCTCGAGTTCCCCACCACTGTCGTTTCACCCCCTCCAACCAGGGACTGATTCAGACCTTTAAGTGGACTATTGGGCCAATCAATGGCATGGATCAATCAATCAATCAATGACTTGGGAGAAAGAAGAACAACCTGCAGTACAGCAGAGCTGGAGGCCCAGATGTGAATAGCTCTGCTGTATGTAGCACTGTACACACTTACAGTAATAGTCTATAGGTGCTGTGACATACACAGTCCACCAGGGCGCGCCACTACACCCTCCCCTCCACACAGACAGAGAGGTGAGGCCGGTGTGATTTCACAAGTTTGCTTTTTATTAAAAATCTGTTTTTCACCATGGTCATATACAGTCAGAAACCAGTACTCTTTAAGGTATAGGTATAGTCATCATAATAACGTATTAATGAGGTTTATACAGCGCTTAAAGCACTTTACATTTCTACTCAATTGTAGTAGCAACATCATAGCTATACAACTACAAGTACTCCTACTCATAAACACCAGCCACTAATGAGCATTTTAATATTTGTGGTTGTGATAGCTTATTGGCTGCTGCACCCAGAGGGAAGGGAGGGACACAGGAAATGGGAAGTGACACATTTGGACACAGGATGGAGTTAGACACACAATGGGGTTGTGGGGGCAGAAACAGGTTGTAGGGGAGTTCGAAAGGTGCTGTAACAGCTCAAGGATTTGGGCAGGACAAATACTGACTGGAACATTTTGGGGGAAGGACTTCAATACTGCATGGTGCGTGTCTGCGGAGTAGCTATGCCTATTGAAACAGAGGGGGCGCAAGAGGGCATATGGGTAGTGTAGTCACATGTAGTGACTACAAACAAAGACAGATGTGGAATTAGTGCCCCCTAGAAAAGTGCATTACATTGGGCCAAAGTAACAGTTTAGGGATACATAGGGAGGATTTGGATGGGCCATCATTACTTTCCAGCCCTATAATGCCAAGAAATAGTTAATGGACTCACCCATCAGTTCTCATTGTATAACCCGTTCTGCCCTCTCTAGTTTGGGCAGAGTCAGAAAGAGTCCTCTAATAGTGGATGGAACGGGTGGAACAACTGAAGAGGGACTGGACAGAAGGGGGGAGGCTGGAGGTGGGGGGGCTGAGGAGGGGCTGGAGGTGGGGGGCGTGGTGGGACTGGGCGGGGGGCTGGGCATGGGGGTGATGGTGGTGGGCATTACCAGGGGTGGTCTTCTCCAGCTGGTACCAGCGATAGAAGGCCCTCTTCTTCTGTTCGCTGAGGTCAGAGCCCTGCTGCAGCAGCCAGTGGGAGATACGACTCTGACTGATACCTGGAGGGAGGCGGGAGGAAGAGAGGGAGACAGAGAGAAAGAGAGACAGACAGAGAGAGAGGATGGACCAGGGGGAGGGAAAGAAAGAAAGAGCACAGAATGCAAGATTCATTAAGTAGCCAATGCATATACAGTGGATGAAGTACTTGCTATTTGTCATTCAAGCCACACTAACACTCATAGAAATCATGATGACGATTCTGTGTTTAGTGTACACCAAAGTGAGCACAGTTCCACTCCAACTGAGTGTAGTGTGCTGTATTAGCCACTAGGGAGCATACTGACCTGTGACCTGAGCCACCACAGCCTGAGAGATGCGCCTGTTCCCCAGGAACGCCTTGATCTCCTCCTTGATTATGGCACTGTCCCTTCTGGAGGGAGAGAGAGGGAGAGAGAGAACAAGTGAGAGAGGAAAAATACAAAAGAAAGACAACATTGTTCCCTTTGCTAGGAAGCTAGAGAGAGGATGGTGCAAGGAACAGAGAGAAAGGTGACTAGTGTGGAAATGAGAGAGATGACTGTGGAAATAGGGAGAGAAAGGGAAAGGAAGTGAGAGAGATGACTGTGGAAATAGGGAGAGAAAGGGAGAGGAAATGAGAGAGATGACTGTGGAAATAGGGAGAGAAAGGGAAAGGAAGTGAGAGAGATGACTGTGGAAATAGGGAGAGAAAGGGAGAGGAAGTGAGAGAGATGACTGTGGAAATAGGGAGAGAAAGGGAGAGGAAATTAGAAAATGAAGATAAGCCATGAAGAGCGGGAGACCGGAAAGTACAATTGAGTTGGATAGGAAGGAAAGACTGAATTAAAAAAAAGGAAATACAGTGCATTCGGAAAGTATTCAGACCCCTTGACTTTCCCACATTTTGTTACGTTACAGCCTTATTCTAAAATTGATTAAATTGGATGTTTTCTCATCAATCTACACACAATACCCCATAATGACAAAGCGAAAAACAGGTTTTTAGAATGTTGCAAATGTATTACAAAAGTAAAAACTTAAATATCACATTTACATAAGTATTCAGACCCTTTCCTATGAGACTCGAAATTGAGCTCAGGTGCATCCTGTTTCCATTTATTATCCTTGAGATGTTTCTACAACTTAATAGGAGTCTACCTGTGGTAAATTCAATTGATTGGACATGATTTGGAAAGGCACACACCTGTCTATATAAGGTCCCACAGTTTACAGTGTATGTCAGAGCAGAAACCAAGCCATGAGGTAGAAGGAATTGTCCGTAGAGCTCCGAGACAGGATTGTGTGGCGGCACAGATCTGGGGAAGGGTACCAAAACATTTCTGCAGCATTCAAGGTCCCCAAGAACACAGTGGCCTCGATCATTCTTAAAATGGGAAAAAGTTTGGAACCACCAAAACTCTTCCTAGAGCTGGCCGCCTGGCCAAACTGAGCAATCAGGGTAGAAGGGCCTTGCTCAGGGAGGTGACCAAGAATCCGGTGGTCACTCTGACAGAACTCCAGAGTTCCTCTGTGGAGATGGGAGAACCTTCCAGAAGGACAACCATCTTTACAGCACTCCACATCTTCGTTCATCAGACCAGAGAATCTTGTTTCTCATGGTCTGAGAGTTTTTAGGTGCCTTTAGGCAAACTCCAAGCGGGCATCATGTGCCTTTTACTGAGGAGTGGCTTCCGTCTGGCCACTCTATCAATCAATCAATCAATTTTATTTTATATAGCCCTTCTTACATCAGCTAATATCTCGAAGTGCTGTACAGAAACCCAGCCTAAAACCCCAAACAGCTAGTAATGCAGGTGTAGAAGCACGGTGGCTAGGAAAAACTCCCTAGAAAGGCAAAACCTAGGAAGAAACCTAGAGAGGAACCAGGCTATGAGGGGTGGCCAGTCCTCTTCTGGCTGTGCCGGGTGGAGATTATAACAGAACCATGCCAAGATGTTCAAAAATGTTCATAAGTGACAAGCATGGTCAAATAATAATCAGGAATAAATCTCAGTTGGCTTTTCATAGCCGATCATTAGAGTTTAAAACAGCAGGTCTGGGACAGGTAGGGGTTCCATAACCGCAGGCAGAACAGTTTAAACTGGAATAGCAGCAAGGCCAGGCGGACTGGGGACAGCAAGGAGTCACCACGGCCGGTAGTCCCGACGTATGGTCCTAGGGCTCAGGTCTCTCAGTTGGCTTTTCATAGCCGATCATTTAGAGTTGAAAACAGCAGGTCTGGGACAGGTAGGGGTTTCGTAGCCGCAGGCAGAACAGTTGAAACTGGAATAGCAGCAAGGTCAGGCGGACTGGGGACAGCAAGGTGTCATCATGCCCGGTAGTCCTGACGTATGGTCCTAGGGCTCAGGTTCTCAGAGAGAAAGAGAGAACGAGAGAATTAGAGAGAGCATACTTAAATTCACACAGGACACTGGATAAGACAGGAGAAGTACTCCAGGTATAACCAACTAACCCCAGCCCCCCGACACATAAACTACTGCAGCATAAATACTGGAGGCTGAGACAGGAGCGGTCCGGAGACACTGTGGCCCCATCCGAAGAAACCCCCGGACAGGGCCAAACAGGAAGGATATAACCCCACCCACTCCGCCAAAGCACAGCCCCCGCACCACTAGAGGGATATCCCCAACCACCAACTTACAATCCTGAGACAAGGCCGAGTATAGCCCACAGAGGTCTCCACCACAGCACAAACCAAGGGGGGGGCGCCAACCCAGACAGGAAGATCACGTCAGTAACTCAACCCACTCAAGTGACGCACCCCTCCCAGGGACGTCACTCTACCATAAAGGCCTGATTGGTGGAGTGTTGCAGAGATGGTTGTCCTTCTGGAAGGTTCTCCCATCTCCACAGAGGAACTCTAGAGTCTTGGTGGTTCCAAACTTCTTCCATTTAAGAATGATGGAGGCCACTGTTCTTGGGGACCTTCAATGCTGCAGAAATGTTTTGTTACCCTTCCCCAAATCTGTGCCTCGACACAATCCTGTCTCAAAGCTCTATGGACAATTCCTTCGACCTCAATTCCTTGGTTTTTGCTCTGACATGCACTGTCAACTGTGGGTCCTTATATAGACAGGGGTGTGCCTTTCCAAATCACGTCCAATAAATTGAATTTACCACAGGTGGACACCAATCAAATTGTAGAAACATCTCAAGGATGATCAACGGAAACAGGATGCACCTGAGCTCAGTTTTATTTGTTTTATAAATTTGCTAACATTTCTATAAACCTGTTTTCGCTTTGTCATTATGGGGTATTGTGTGTAGATTCCTGAGGATTTATTATTTTGAAATACATTTTAGAATAAGGCTGTAACGTAACAAAATGTGGAAAAGGTCAAGGGGTCTGAATACTTTCCGAAAGGCACTGTACCACATTACGTCTTACTAGTAATACCTTTATTGTTTTAGAAACATTACAAAGCATGCTTAACTGTTTTTTTGTGTTTTTTGTTGGTGTAATTTTAGCGGGAAAAAACTATTTTGCTGGTAAAGAAAATCTGAGTGGCTGCCACAGTGGTTGGCAGACCAAAAAGTTAATTTTAGGCCCTGTTTGGGATGCTCTGGATCGACATGTATGAGAGTGTGTTCCAGTTCCCGCCAATATCCAGCAACTTTGCACAGCCATTGAAGAGGAGTGGGACAACATTCCACAGGCCACAATCAACAGCCTAATCAACTCTATGCGAAGGAGATGTCTCGCGCTGCATGAGGCAAATTATGGTCACACCAAACACTGACTGGTTTTCTGATACACGCCCCTACCTTTTTTTTAGGTATCTGTGGCCAACAGATGCATATCTGTATTCCAAGTCATGTGAAATCCATAGATTAGGGCCTAATTAATTAATTTAAATTGACTGATTTTATTATATGAACTGTAACTCAGTAAAATCTTTGAAATTGTTGCGTTTATATTTTTGTTCAGTATAGTTTCAGTTCGATAAACACATTTCTATTTCATTTTTATATTATTTAGTTTCAGTTTTAGTATTATGGACATAAAGTAGCCTATGCGTGGGAGGCTAGGAGCCATTTAGGTGTTGTAGGCCTATAGTTTTTTTGTGATGTGGGGGGCACTAATACATAAGGTGATGGGCCAGGACCATAGACTTGGAAAGACATAACATCTTTGTATCGGTGTCATGATGGTGTCTGTGAGAGCATGGGCAGCCCCATTGAGGCCCTCTCCATCTGAAATTGACAATTTTCTTCTTTACAAGTAAAATGTATTGGCTGGTCCCTCCTGATGACCCGGCTGTCACAACTCCAACCCGGTCATCAGGAGGGATCAGCCAATGAAGCTGGAAGTCCCGCCGAGTTTACAAAATAAAAATGGTGAAAGTCCTCAATGGCGCTGCCCATGCTAACATTGGCTTTTGGCCACTTGAGGACTCCACACAACTCCATGGCCAGGACATAGGTTTGGTTAGGTTTAAATTATAAAATCAATCCTAATGTGACTTGGATTTAAAGGTTAGACTGGTGCAAGAAATATGGTGGAAGGAAACTCTCTTGCCCATGTTTACACCAATCCAATGCATTTTTTTACTTTAGTAGTAGATGTAAGAATAATCAAGTACCTTTACCTGATGGAAAGAGAGGAAAAAACAACAAATGAAGTCATGGCACATTTGACATGTTATGTTTATGTAATATTAAACATGTATCACTGACTATCACTGGTTAATAAAAACAGCTGCAACAACAGCAAAAACACAAGCAATACAACACTTCTTCACAAATCTATCAGTTCGCAGCCAGCTTGTGTGTGTTTCTGTTCAACCAAACAATATTCTGGTTCATCTTCTAGAAGACTGTGTTCCAGAGAGTTGGTTGTTCGGTTTCTCAAGACTGATGGCAGTTGTCCACACACAGAGAATATTCTTTCCACGAACACTTGGGATGCAGGGGCAGATACCAGATCCAGTGCCACAGGGCACAGCTTTTGATAACCAGCCCTCCTTGCCTGCCAGAACTGGAGAAGTGACTATATAAACATGTCCACCTTTACCTCTTCCAGGTATTTCGGCAGCTCACATGGGGCATGTCATTCTCTGCCAGTCTGACCCTCCGGCTGGACAGTGACCTCAGACACAATCTTCGATGAGAGGAAGCTATATTTCTGAAGCACTGCCCTAGGAAGCTCTTTGCTACCTTCTCCTCCCTGCAGAATCCTCCTCCTCCCCCTCCCTCCTCCCTCTCTGTGGATGACTTCGTCAACCATTTTGAAAAGGAGGTTGACGACATCCGATCCTCATTTTTTAAGTCAAATGACACCGCTGGTCCTGCTCACACTGCCCTAACCTATGCTTTGACTTCTTTCTCCCCTCTCTCTCCAGATGAAATCTTGCGACTTGTGACGGCCAGCCGCCCAACAACCTGCCCGCTTGACCCTATCCCCTCCTCTTTTCTCCAGACCATTTCCGGAGACCTTCTCCCTTACCTCACCTCGCTCATCAACTCATCCTTGACCACTGGCTATGTCCCTTCCGTCTTCAAGAGAGCGAGAGTTGCACCCCTTCTCAAAAAACCTACACTCGATCCCTCCGATGTCAACAACTACAGACCAGTATCCCTTCTTTCTTTTCTCTCCAAAACTCTTGAGCGTGCCGTCTTTAGCCAACTCTCTTGCTATCTCTCTCAGAATGACCTTCTTGATCCAAACCAGTCAGGTTTCAAGACTGGTCATTCAACTGAGACTGCTCTTCTCTGTGTCACGGAGGCTCTCCGCACTGCTAAAGCTAACTCTCTCTCCTCTGCTCTCATCCTTCTAGACCTATCTGCTGCCTTTGATACTGTGAACCATCAGATCCTCCTCTCCCCCTCTCCGAGTTGGGCATCTCCGGCGCGACTCACTCTTGGATTGCGTCCTACCTCACAGGTCGCTCCTACCAGGTGGCGTGGCGAGAATCTGTCTCCACACCACGTGCTCTCACCACTGGTGTCCCCCAGGGCTCAGTTCTAGGCCCTCTCCTATTCTCTCTATACACCAAGTCACTTGGCTCTGTCATATCCTCACATGGTCTCTCCTATCATTGCTACGCAGACGACACACAATTAATCTTCTCCTTTCCCCTTTCTGATAACCAGGTGGCGAATCACATCTCTGCATGTCTGGCAGACATATCAGTGTGGATGAAGGATCACCACCTCAAGATGAACCTCGGCAAGACGGAGCTGCTCTTCCTCCCGGGGAAGGACTGCCCGCTCCATGATCTCGCCATCACGGTTGACAACTCCGTTGTGTCCTCCTCCCAGAGTGCAAAGAACCTTGGCGTGACCCTGAACAACACCCTGTCGTTCTCCGCTAACATCAAAGCGGTGACCCGATCCTGTAGGTTCATGCTCTACAACATTCACAGAGTACGACCCTACCTTACACAGGAAGCGGCACAGGTCCTAATCCAGGCACTTGTCATCTCCCGTCTGGATTACTGCAACTCACTGTTGGCTGGGCTCCCTGCCTGTGCCATTAAACCCCTACAACTCATCCAGAACGCTGCAGCCTGTCTGGTGTTCAACCTTCCCAAGTTCTCTCACGTCACCCCGCTCCTCCGCACACTCCACTGGCTTCCAGTTGAAGTCCGCATTTGCTACAAGACCATGGTGCTTGCCTACGGAGCTGTGAGGGGAACGGCACCTCCGTACCTTCAGGCTCTGATCAGTCCCTACACCCAAACGAGGGCATTGCGTTCATCCACCTCTGGCCTGCTGGCCCCCCTACCTCTGCGGAAGCACAGTTCCCGCTCAGCCCAGTCAGAACTGTTCGCTGCTCTGGCACCCCAATGGTGGAACAAGCTCCCTCACGACGCCAGGAACAGCGGAGTCACTCACCACCTTCCGGGGACACTTGAAACCCCACCTCTTTAAGGAATACCTGGGATAGGATAAAAGTAATCCTTCTACCCTCCCCCACCAATTTTTTTTGTTGATATATTGTAAAGTGGTTGTACCACTGGCTATCATAAGGTGAATGCACCAATTTGTAAGTCGCTCTGGATAAGAGTGTCTGCTAAATAACGAAAATGTAAATGAAAATGTAATCGAGATGCTTGCTGGATTCATCGTGTTGGCATCTTCCTGGGGTCTTGCTGCTCCACGGCTGTACCCTCTGATTTGCTGAAGTACAAAATACTCTGCTTGCCTCATCAGTGACTTCATCTCTGTTGAGCAGCTTGCCTCATCAGGCAAGCTGCTCCAGGGGTTGGATCGAAGTTGTCAGTATGCACGCAAAGCGCTCACGCAGTGACTTCAGGAGGACCTGTGGCAACTGTTTTGCAACAGTAGTTGACTGCAAGTGTGCCTCAAGGTTGAGAAGGCACGGAACCACATCAGACAGCGACTGGATGTCAGTTTGAAGTTGGTCGGTGTGGATTGCGAAAGGCTCCAGCAACTTCACAAGCTGTTCTAGCTTGGCTCAGTCACGCTTCGTGTTCGCCTCCGTATTTCTTCCCTGTTAGCTGGTGATAGCTAGTGGCACACAAGCTAGGCCTATTTGAAACGTTGGCATCTGCCCCAATTATTTATGCATAGTCACTTTATCTCTACCCACATGTACATATTACCTCAACTACCTCAACTAGCCGGTGCCCCCGCACATTGACTCTGCAACGGTACCCCCCTGTATATATAGCCTCCCTACTGTCACTTTATTTTACTTCTGCTCTTTTTTCTCTCAACACTTTTTTTGTTGTTGTTTTATTTTTACTTTTTTTGTAAAAAATAAATGCACTGTTGGTTAAGGGCTGTAAGTAAGCATTTCACTGTAATGTCTGCACCTGTTGTATTCGGCGCATGTGACCAATACAATTTGATTTGATTTGATTTGATCTACTGGCAGCATTTACCCGCCAGATTCAGAAGCTCGAAAACCCCATTTGATAAAAAACTAAAACTAAACATAATTTATGGTTTTTATTTTAGTTAGTTTTGCAGTAAAATATAAGTTTCAGTATAGTTTTTCAAATGTTTTTCGTTTTTATTTCAGTTTAATTGTTTTTCCAATTTTAGTTTTTATTTTAGTTTCAGTTTTCGTTTAGTATAATAACCTTGGTGTGTGCCAGCCAGTGTGACAAAGTGCCGCTGTATGTGTGATTGTCAGAGAGGGAATGTAACAAAAGACAGATGGAGCGAGAGAGAGGGGGGGGGGGGAGAGAGAAGGGAAAGAAAGAGTGGGGAGAGAGAGAGAGCAATTCCCATAAATGTGACGTGTCTGTGAAAACACTGGCCCACACACACACACACACACAGTCTTTCTTCTGTCTGTCGATACACTGCCTTCTCATTTACATTTATATTGATTCCTCTTCATGGAAAACGTGAGAGAGAATCAGAGGCAGTGCTGAGCTGCCAGAAATCCATTGCCACTTTTCTCTCCCTCCCTTTCATTTCATTTTCATCACTCCATCTAATCAATACTGACTTTATCACTGCGAACAACACACAATACAAAAGAGCAGCGAAAGGGTTGACAGACAGGACGTATGTGTGTGTGTGTGTGTGTGTGTGGGACTGATGTGGTGACTGTGTTTAGACACAGGTGTCACCTAATGCATTACTAAACTCTGGCCTCAAGGTCTAGTTCACTAGAAAACACTAAAAACCCAAAACAAAAATGAGGATTCTTATTAGACACATTCAGGTAGTGTAAAAGGTAGTTTGTTTGGTTACCATTTTGTGCCTATTGATGTGTTCAGAAAAGACTCAGGCTCCTCCTCCTCACCTCAGGAGTTCCTCCACTTTGTCTTCCACGTCTAGTTCCTCCTCGCTGGCCTCAAACCCGTAGCTGCTCCCCATCACGCCGCCACTCACCGCACTAACACTGACAGGAAACCGCGGTGGAGACAACTTCCCGTTCGTCATGGCAACCAGCTCGCCACCGCCACCACCAACCCCATGCCCGTTCTGCGCCACCACTGCCATAGCCACCGGGGCAGATACAACCACCGGAGGGGGCGGAGACATATCATAGTTGTTGCTAGGTGACGGTGACAGGCCACTCCCACTCCCATTCCCCAGGTAACCAGTCTGTGTGGCGGTCGTGGACGTTGATGAGGACGCTGCAACGTTATCGGACGAGGGAGAAGACGTTGTATTAGTGTTGCAATTGGGCGTCGGCCCCTGATAGGCGGGCTGGGGCTGCGTCTGGGGCTGGGGACGGCGTCCGAACTTGTGTCCGTGCTGGTGATCCAGTCTGTCCAGGGTGTCCAGGGCGTGGAGGATCTCTGGCTTCTTCATCCCCGTCCTCCTCAGCCGCTGGAGCAGGTCAATCTGCTCGATGGTGAAACGAGGCTCATCGGTGTACCGAGACATCCTGGAGAGAGAGAGAGAGGAGAGAGGAGAAGGGTTTAGATGGAGTGAGAGAGAGGAGAGTTTAGATAGGATGAATGGAGAAAGGAGGAGAGAGGGAGAAGACAGAGATGGGGGCTGTTGCTGTATTGTATATAGCCTGTCCAGAAAACGACTCCCAGACCCTTCCCTTTAGGCACTGCCTGGTATAGATCCAGAAAACGACTCCCAGACCCTTCCCTTAGGCACTGCCTGGTATAGATCCAGAAAACTACTACATAGACATAAGACATGTTTGGACCTAAGCTTTTATTATGCGGGAGACTATGCCAGCTCTAACAAAAGACTACGCTGAGACATGTATGCACTCAGAAACATACATCATACAGCTTACACGCTTTATCTCCTCATCAGCGGCATGCTTAGAGAAGACTGGTTCAGCAGCTGCAGCCCAGATATTAAATGGATTATTCGACCGACCAACACACACAGAGACAGAGACATAGACAGAGAGAGAGAGAGAGATAGAGAGCGAGAGATACGGACAGACATACGGACAGAGATATGGACAGACTTAGATAGAGTGAATGGGGGGAGGAGGGTGAGAGAGATGGAAATAGAAAGAGAGAGAAACCCATCTGTGTGTGAGAGAGAAAGAGCTGACAGAGAACACATGCATGAGAGCGAGAGGGAAGAAAGATTGAGAGGCGGGAGGGAGGGAGGGAGGGAGGGGTTAAGAGTGAGTGCGACTTGGGAAAAAGGCCAAGAAAAATGTCCATCCTAAGCAGCCAACCTCCATATTTTCCCTTTCAAGAGGGCGGGGATGAGTCATAGGACAGTGTATAGAATACATACAGTACTGTGCAAACATTCATACACAGCCAGGACACACACACACACACACACACAGATATGAGACACACACACACGCTGCATGCATTAAAAAGTGCAGTACAGTCCAAACAGGCAGACAGAGACAGACAGGGTCAAAACAGTAGAGGGCACACACAACCATGGACGCACGTGCACAGAAACAGGCACACGCACAACACACACAAACAGGCTAGAGTCTAGACCTACTGACTGAAGGCTGGTGGAGAAGGACTAGCCATAGTCTTCATCCATATTACACAGTAGTGACAAAGAGAACTAACCCAAGATAGACTGCAGCCTGTTGTTTCCAGTGGGAGCAAATGAATCATAGTAGGAAGAACAAGCAAGGAGGTGGGCAGAGCCAAGCACGCGCTAGCGAGATCCTATTTGGCGCGTTCTAGCATGTATCCGCATATTTCCGTTAGGGAACGCCTACTCTGAAGTGCGCGTGTGCAATAACTCAATTCGCCCTTGCACTCCTAAACAATGCAATTTTTATAAACTTTCGCAAAGGGTAAAGTCTACTAAACTTAGTCCACTCTGTTCATAATAGATTCTAGTTTCGGGAAAATAAAACTGTATTAAGATCAAAATGTTTTATCTATGAAAAAATTTGCCTAATGTCAGCCAAAATCCATCTCGCTCCATATTCTCCCACTGCCGGCCACTGGGCTTCCTCTCATCACCATATCTGGTAGTAAGTGTTCTATTTGTGCTAATGAGATCTGCATATAACCTATATGTTATGTACAGCCTTATACAATGCACCAACTCCTACCCTACATTTTCTGCTCTAGCCCAGTGCAAACTCGCCTGACTCAACTAAAAATGAACTGGGCTAATCATCAAGGGCTTGACTAGTTGAATCAGGTGAGCCAGCTAGGTGTGGGCAGGAACAAAAAGAAGAAACCATGAGAAACAATTATAGTTAGTCAGTCTGTAATTTACAAACCCTGGGCTGGAGTCAAGCTGCTGCTCCTTAGTTCACTAAAACTGTAGTCCCCTGTAGCTCAGTTGGTAGAGCATGGCGCTTGCAACGCCAGGGTTGTGGGTTCATTTCCCACGGTATGAAAAATGTATGCACTCACTAACTGGAAGTCGCTCTGGATAAGAGCGTCTGCTAAAATGACTAAATATAAAACAAGTTTCTCCACAAATCTTCTTTCCTCTCCCTGACCTTCCTGTCTTCCTCTGGCGCAGAGGCTCTGGGAGGACAGAGGTTTAATACTGCTGAGCAGACTAGCACTGGTCAATTGTCTTTATAGATCTCTACGAGAGAGAGAGAGAGAGAGAGAGAGAGAGACAGAGAGACAGAGACAGAGACAGAGACAGAGACAGAGACAGAGACAGAGACAGAGACAGAGACAGAGACAGAGACAGAGAGACAGAGAGACAGAGACAGAGACAGAGACAGAGACAGAGACAGAGACAGAGAGACAGAGACAGAGAGACAGAGACAGAGAGACAGAGAGAGACAGAGAGAGACAGAGACAGAGACAGAGACAGAGAGACAGAGAGACAGAGACAGAGACATCTATGCCCTGAGAGCCTCATGGCTTTTAAAGTTTCTGTGTGTCAGATCTGACTCAGCAGAAGAAAAAAAAAACATTAACTCTCACACATGCACTGAGTATGTTTGGGTCTGACTGAGTGACTTATACTACACAAATGGACGCAACTATTAGCATATTACAATTGTGAAACCATAGATGCAGTAAAGAGGTCAATGGAACTCCACCCAAACAATAGAAATAACATGGAAATGCGTGGGGGAAAGATGCCTTTGGGCAAAGATCCCCCATCTACTCATTGCCTCCCTAAATTTAGGCTATTGTTTATATGTGTATTTCACACTATGTTGAGGTAAAAAATTGGAGTATAATGCTTGTATTGATGTCAACCCCAATACATGTTCATGTCATCATCACCAATCAACTGCACTGCAGTTAAAAACGACTTGGACTACCACCACAGATTTTGTATGCTAGCATTTAGCAGTCACTTCTTCTAAATCTGAAAAGTAACAACTTCTAACTGTTATGCAGTGAAAACAGCGAAATATATCCAAATCGGACTTTAGTAACCACATTGTCAGCCTGTTACAATACATCAATCATGATGGATTGTTAGATGAGATTTGTTGAATGTGCGCCAATCCGGCGTCCTTCTTCTATCCCCCACGGTCTGCATTCCACTGACCTCTTTGCATCCATTGTACTATGTTTGTGCTGGAAACTGCAATGCCAAGAAAATTATAGTCCTCAGGAGCAAAAGATCTTAGCCTGGTCCCAGATCTGTTTGTGCCATCATTCCAACTCCCTGTCATGTTTGGCATGACAAGGAGTGGAAAGGAGTGAGATGATGGCACGAACAGACTGGTACACAAGCTAAAAGATCTTAGCCTGCAGCTACAAATTTTTCCATGCCTAATAAACCATTCCAAGCTTGTAACCTGTTTAGTTGAATCGTTAGGACCCCTGGAAAAGAGTAGGAGCCAGGACCTCTGTAGCTCAGCTGGTAGAGCACGGCGCTTGTAACGCCAAGGTAGTGGGTTCGATCCCCGGGACCACCCATACACAAAAATGTATGCACGCATGACTGTAAGTCGCTTTGGATAAAAGCGTCTGCTAAATGGCATATTATTATTATTATTATTATTATTATAGGACGATGTATTTAGCCAGATGTGGAAGGTAGCCACTAGCTTCACAGCAAATGGAAAACGTTCCCTGACTCCCTGTGCCTAGAAACCTTTTGCATTACCAGGTACCTGGTGAAAGGTGGATAATGAGGTGTATTCATTATACATCATCTTGCAACGGAAACCGTTTACAGTTTAGGAACCAACGGAAGCAAACAGAACGAAACTGGGATGGACCTACCTGAATTTGTCCAATAGAAACTCTTGTTTTCGTTGCAAAATGTTTTCCGTTTGGAGTAAACTGTTTCTGTTCAAATTGAAAAGGCCAACACTGCTGGTAAATTTGGTGTCTGTCTGTGCTGCTGGTTTTGTATTGCGAACACTGACTGCTAAACTAGTCTTGCAACACAGAGCCTACACAAGGAAATGCAATGGGTAACCCGAGTAATGATATACACATTTGGACTACAGGAAACATGTGCATGCTTAACTAGGGAGACTCAAACATTGACCAGAGTTGGAGTGGTTTACTGTCATCCAAAGACAAGTAATTGGTTTAATCAATGGCAAGCAAACATTTGGTTGACAAGTCAATCTTTAGCTGGTGGTTGTAGTTAAACCAAACTATTTCCCCTGTTAGGGGTGCCTACTTTCAAAAGCTATAGTAAAATGCCTCAAAGTATGTGATGAGAGTGCATAATGTAAAAAATAGAATGTTGTTTTATTTCAAAGAGGAGGGGTGTCAGTTTGGTAAGGTGCCTGTCTAGATTAATGTTAAGTGGGGGCTTTCAACATGGTGACTCAAATGACATAATCACGGTGAATCAACAGTGAAACGAACGCCCATCCATCATATGGCGCGGACGTTCCACTCAATAACAATCGCACGTGCACAATCTAATAACCCAAACCCAGTCCAGACAGTTATGTAATGCAAAAAACATATGTACAGTGGGGGAAAAAAGTATTTAGTCAGCCACCAATTGTGCAAGTTCTCCCACTTAAAAAGATGAGAGAGGCCTGTAATTTCCCTCATAGGTACACGTCAACTATGAGATACAAATTGAGAAAAAAAAAATCCAGAAGATCACATTGTAGGATTTTTTATGAATTTATTTGCAAATTATGGTGGAAAATAAGTATTTGGTCACCTACAAACAAGCAAGATTTCTGGCTCTCACAGACCTGTAACTTCTTCTTTAAGAGGCTCCTCTGTCCTCCACTCGTTACCTGTATTAATGGCACCTGTTTGAACTTGTTATCAGTATAAAAGACACCTGTCCACAACCTCAAACAGTCACACTCCAAACTCCACTATGGCCAAGACCAAAGAGCTGTCAAAGGACACCAGAAACAAAATTGTAGACCTGCACCAGGCTGGGAAGACTGAATCTGCAATAGGTAAGCAGCTTGGTTTGAAGAAATCAACTGTGGGAGCAATTATTAGGAAATGGAAGACATACAAGACCACTGATAATCTCCCTCGATCTGGGGCTCCACGCAAGATCTCACCCCG